TTAACTTGCAACATTTGGTCACAATGGCGTCTGCCGAAATTCAGTGGTTTTATGTTTGCTTACGAATATGGTTTTCATCAAAATATTAGAGTAAACGTAATATTTACAGGTGGAATGTTATGTTACTATATTTTTATGTTTTTCCGATGTACCTACTGTAAACCCATTTATTGCACAAACCGACATTTTGATTTACCTAAAATTACGAGAGCTGTTAGCACTACAACTTGACCTCGAGCACTGACGCCGGTCGTTCGGTTACCGAGCACGGCTTCGTTTAACTGGCCTTATTTGCGTACCTATGGCACGGTACAATTATAATACAGTACTCCAACTTCATACAAACGGACGAAACGCGAGCTATACCTACGCGCCCCCATCTCGGGGTGCGCTCGGGGCGCAGACAGTCACGGCTGTACCGCAGTGTCGAACGGACGGTGTGTTGTTTTTTTAACAATAACCGTGCGATTTTTTTTCTAAAAATCAGATAATATGACGAGTAGGAAATATTGTGCTGTTTTTGGTTGTATGAATTATTCAATAACGCATCCAGACGTTTTTTTAAATTACCTGGAAACTCTGAAAGGTAAGACTATAAAATAATTTTACTTACTAGTAGGTAGGTACATAATGTGTGTCTTTTTAATAGATTAGTATTTCCTTTTATCTCACGAAAAAAAAAGGTGTTTGGATTAACAAATAAAGCGAATAGAGTAACGGTAGGTTATTGAGACGAGTGAAATAGGTAGTTATATGCGGTTCTGAATGAATCATGATGCGGTAGGTACCTACCTACTTACGCTTGTGTTAAAACTTCGGTGCATGTGTGTTTTGTTACTTTGCATAATTCAAAGTGACGTGGTATTTTATTATTAATAATATTTGCTTATTATCTGTGTGTATGAATAATACTAGAAATTTTTTTTACCGTCTGTGTGTCATTAGATAGTTTTCGAAATTTTCACAAAGTGTTTCTGCTGCTACTATAACAACATATACCACTAAAAACTGGTTTTATTTTCGCGGTATTAAGAACAACAGCTAGACTTTTATATAATATTTAGATGTTTGAGGGTTGTGATTTTATAACATTCGTAGTCAGCTGTTCAGCTTTTTAATAATTAATTAATTGGTGACCAAAGAATTTGTGTTTTGAGTTGTTGCGAGTTATAGGTAGGTACCTAATTTTTAGAGACGTTAATAAGCTGAGATAAAAAGTTACTTACTCGTCAGCTGTTTCTTGCATTCTAGTTGAGTAGGTAGGTGTTGGAGTTTCTAAGGATTGGAGTTTTGTAAAGCGTAAGGAGAAAGCACATTTTTTTTATTCTATAGAAGGATTTTTAAGCTATTGCATAGCTTTTATCGCGGGCTGACCGAATCAAGAAATTCTCAAAACCTAACGAAAAATGCCTGACACCACGCAGATTGTTTTCTTTTAAAAAATAAAAAAGAGTGCCACATGTATTTTTTTTTCAGACGTCTTCAATGGTTGCAACTGATCCGGCGAGATGATTTGGAAAACAAACCTAACTTTAGTTCCTACCAAGTTTGTGAAAAACATTTTAATTTGGAGGATGTATTACATTCATCAAATAGAAAACTTTTAAAAAAGAATGCCCTACCATTGTTGATGCTGCCAAGCTTAGCTAGTACTGATCCAGGAGTCTCTCTAAAAGAAGATAAACAAACCCAAACTGCTCCGTTGGTAGGAAATGAAAATAGTACACAGACTGAAAATGCAACAAATGAAATCTTTGCTCAAACCTCAACGAGTCTCTCTAGCAACACTCCATGAAAAAGAAAATTGAAACTTGAACTCCTCCAATGCAGAAAGAAAATAAAATAATTAAATCTACCAATCAAAAAACAACACGCATTTTTATTGAACACTTCCTATTCAATATACAAAGTATTTCATTTATTTATATAAAAAGGATATTTACAATCACAAATCTAAATAGAAACAGAAAGTAGACAAATATAATTAAAATACTGGAGACGGACAGCCCTAACGCATGTTTACGTACCGCGCGGCTGTAGGCATTTATTTCTATCATGCGCCCGAGTTACGCTACTGTATTATAAGTGTACCGTGCCTATGGCGTGTTCTCGGTTTTAAGACTGTAATTAAATTATTACGTGACCACCTATATCGTAGCTGAGGCTTATAAGACTAAATTCATAACAGCACTAGACAGTTATATTTAATTCAATTATTTATTAGATTATATAAGTATGTTTATCTTTACATTTATACTTAAATAAGTATAGATTAAAGGTGTTTATGTGATCCTGATGTTCTACAGTACTGATTGTAATGAAATGTTGTAAATGGTTTGATTGTCTGTATTTACATTTGAGAGAACCGCGATGATCAAACTAAGCTTAAGAAAAAATCCTTGAACCCTTCAAGGATTTTTTCTTAAGCTTAGTTTGATCAGGACCAGGTGTGGGCAAATTGCAAAAATATCTGTTTTAATAGTATCGTAATATATCGAGGAAACAAATTCGACATTTCGAAAAATCTTCATTTTTGCACATCTTGTAAGTCTGTTATTAGTTGCATTTCTTAAAAATATCCATTATTTATATTTCAATTAAGCCAGTGTATCACATGACATCAGAGGCACTCTGTGTTTATGCTCCACAGTAATCAGCTTCTATTCGCCAACACAGTTAAAATGCTAAGACAACCATTTGGGATGATATTAGGCAGATTGTCAGATAAAATTTACGGGTGATTTCCGAAAGAGCTGGTGTGAAATGAAAGTAAGTCACCCAAAACATTACTGGATCTTATTCATTCCTTTTTATTAATGATTGGACCAGATACTGCTTAAGCTTAGCTCAGCTTTGGATACCATTAGGTATAACAGAGCAGTCACTTGTACGACACTTACGTATACTCCACAATAGCATGGCTGATAACACAAAAGTGGTACAATGTGGGGGTAGGTTCCATCCTCATCCTGTCGGTACTGGCACCATATCTAGTCTTATCTTATCTTAGAAATTGAAGTCATTGAAATGTTTGGATACCTAATGCAATTTCGAGGCTTAAAATATCGACTATTTATATCGATCGATTTCTAAAAAGCTTGAATGCTGGAGACATTGATATTATTTAATTACTAATATTAATGTTCAAAATGTAGATAATATTTAACCAAGCACAGGACGTGTGTGCCCACAAACAATCGAAGCAAAGTTAAGACCTCTATGACTAAGAATACTTCATGTGTGAATTGTAGTGTCCTATCGTGGATCGGTACCTACAGGGTTTCAAATACCAGTAAGTAACATATTTCAGCCCATTACACAAATACACATTCTACGCCCGCGTGTATGTCGATTATCGCCGTAAAAAGTAGACTACCTTTTGGCTGATAATGTAGCTTTCCATTGGTGACAGAATTTTTAAAATCAGTTTAGTGGTTAAGACGTGAAAGCGTACCTAGCAAACAAAAAAAAAACTTATTTTCACTTTTATAATATAAGTATGGATTACGAAAACGTCTATAACACATAAATAAAATTAATTTATACAGTCAAAATCCAGATCCAAAACTTCATAATATATCCACAGGAAATGCACCTTAATTAAATCCATAGTCATAGTAAAATTAAAGAGGTATTTATTATAATAAAACACTTACAATTTTGCCCATTGTTACAAATTCACATGTTTGAGTTCAGTTTTTTCCACAGCACGGATATCCTGATACAGAAGTCTATTCGAAAACACTTTGCCGACTGCACTGTAATAACTATAGCGCATCGTTTGCAGTCATTGGAAGCATTATTTTTTTTATTCATTCATTATGGAGATAAGTAGTTCCCTGCTCTTTTCGCAGCGGTAAGGATTTCTTTAAGACATTCGAAAATAAACTTTAACACTATTGTTATAAAGTGCATACCTATTTGTTTAAAGAAAATGGCCGAGACCGCGCAAGGATTATTCGTCTCGATCTGCGCTGACCCTTATAGGGTCATATATTTCCTACAGAAGTAAAGACAAGTTACATAAACGTGCTTATAACATTAAGTAAACAGTAGTAACAGTCAAATCAGTTCATAAATGACGGAGTCAAAACGAAAATGATTTGACTTGACAGACAGACTTAAAGTAAATAAGTATTCTATCAGTTAATGTATTTTTTTTAATAAAGCTCTGCTTAGTTCGAAACTAGATAGCGTTGTGTGTCAGTTCCACGAAATATATAATTAATAATAAAAAATAATTAAGTCATTAATATTGAACAAGTTATTTCTTATATTAAAGGTTATGGAGGCTGGTCAGGTAATCGAAGGTGGACACCCATACGAACTTTTGCAAATGGAAGGGAGCCACTTCAGAAACATGGTGCAAGACCTGGCATCAGCTTCGGAATACGACTTACGAAATCTTGCAAGTAGGGCGTATTCTGAACATGTTCCGCAAACAGAGAAAGAGAGAGCTTGTGACGTTGGTAAATAAGGCTGCTTTTAGGTTTACCTGAACGTGGATAGTTTGTTTTGTTTGTTTCTTTTTTTAAAGACTACTCCCGCATTAGGAATATATTCTGTGTCGCGGGGGACTTTATAAACATACATGAAACAGACACAAAGAAGACCCAGACTCAGAACAACAACAGCGTAGTAGTAAGTGGCGTGGCGACCGCTTAAACCACTACGCCATCCGCAGTTACATGAAGATACACCACCAACAGAGTATTATTGGTGTTTATATTGTTTTTACCACTACATAACTAAGATGTTAAATATGTTAGAGTATAAACTTTCGTTAAAAATATTTATTAAGGGCGGTTTTAAATATTATTATTGTTGTATAATATATAGAATATAATTATATATAAGAAATACTTACTACAATAATGTAAGTATTAGTTAGGATATCGGACAATTCTTGTAATGTTATCGGCCATTAGAAATTCACAAGTACATAATAAAACAGGTTATTTCAATATATTTTTTATAAATGATTGTACTTGACTGGTAGATTATTCCTCAAGAAGTACATCGTAGTCAGGTTTGTTACCCAGAGTGTATGCTTTTTGGAAATTTTGAAATATTTCTTTTGGTACTGCATATTCCTTTACTACCGGGTCTTCCCACATATTCGCTATGTACTCCAACTGAAAGTTCAAAAATTACATGATATTATCGTGCCTACTATTATGGTAGCCTGTGAACGCTTGCAACTCCAGGAGATTCGCCTGCGCTTTGTTGACCTTGCAAAAACCTGCACTCCTGAACCCCATATTGCCTCGGGCACATCTCTTATTGTATTTTGTTGCTGAATACTTTCAGAGATTTACGTCGACAGAAAGCGTTAGCAACGAAGTTGGGACTCCAAATTAAGAAATTTAAAAATAAAAGTGTGGCAACAAATTAATTACTCGATTTTATTTAAAGAATTTGAAACAGCTTAGGTCAATATTTTTGCTTTTAGTTAGTTTAGTTAATTTTTTCGCTGTTGATCCAATAATAAGCATGACATTAATTTTCTGGTCATTACAGATAAATGTATGAAAGCAGAAAAGTAAAATAAACTGATTTTGTGACTATATGCCTACAAAAATCTGTTTTAAACACTAATTGAAATGAAAAAAGGATTGTATATTTTAAATTATATTGGTTGCGCAGTTATTAATGGCTACAGAAATGGTAGAGTATTTTCACTCGAGAGAGAGATTGAAAATTTCGGCCATGCGATTATATCTCATGTAGTAGTAGATTTTATCTACCCTTATAAAAATATCATAGGTATACTTAAATTTAAAAAAATCAAGGCACTGACCAGCACTTTGTATTTAGTCTCATCCAACTCTTTCATTTTATCGTTGACGGCTGGCAGTCTCTCGAACCAGGGCCAGATCATATAGTCAGCGTAGCCGGGTTCCGATCCATCTAAGAACTTTGTGCCTCGTAACTGAAGCTGTCTTTGCAGCATATCTAATGCCTTGAAGTATCCAGCTACATCGTCATCAGTGACCGACTCCGGTGTCTTCACAAGTTTGAAGAACAAGGAATGAATCTAAAAATACATTAACAATGTAAAACTATAAAGCAGGATGACTATGGTTTGTTTGTAATTTGTATGTAAAAGCAATCAATTACATTTTATGATCACGTGTGGTGACGGATTAAAAATACAGAGTGTCACCATCCCTATTCATCCCGTGGGTGTCGTAAGAGCCTGGCTAAGGGAGTTAAATACGGAAGACAACAGTACTGCAAAGAGAAGGAAAACTTGAAACAAACCCTATACCAACCCGTCTGGCCAGCGTGGTATAGTAGAGCAAATCCTCCTTTCTAAGGAGAAGCCTATGTTCAGCAGTGGACTAGTAAAGGCTGTTGATGATTGATTTGGTTGTAATATCCCGTGACTGTGATTAAGATAGAAAACAGTGCACTATTAGAGATACTATACTATTTGTAAGAGCGTATTCCTTTCTCAAAGGCGCCGGCCTTTGAAAAAGGAGTACGCTCGTGCTTGTATCATGAGTTGCAGGCGTTCATGGGCTGCGGTGGTAACTTTCTATCAGGTGACCCGGCTGCTCGATTACCCCCTCTTCCCCTCGGATACCACCCACCGGTGGGGTGGCTATGTCGGACTCGAACCGACCAAAACCCGCACGCCGTCTCGGCTACCAGTAGCGAGGGAACCAGTTGTACCCTAGAAAGGAAATCCCTGGTACGCCGACGTACCTAGGGCCATCTACGGCATGTAGAAAACCCTCACCGTTGTGGGAACCCCCATGATCACTTTGTGCTCCCGAAGGGACACGCACGCTTCGCAGCGCGTCTCACCGCCGCCCCGGCCTGCGCTCATAGCACCTCAGGCGGCTGAGTCATCTGCGGTACCTGGCCCTTTCTCGGACCTGGCAGGCCAGGAGAGTTCTAAACCTCTCTCGGTCCACCTTCGCAAGCATAACTTGCTCGCAGAAGGAAGGAGGAGTTTGCTCCGTACCAAGGCGACAATCATCTTACCGAGCGATAGAATTACCACTCCGATGGCCGCCACGAGAACACGCCTCTGCTCCATTCTGCCAGCGTGTGGAGCGCCATGTCCACGGTCCGGTCATCATAGTGGTGGCATTCAAGCGTTGGCTATTTGCGGATCAGACAAAGGTGATGTCTGAAGCATCTTCTCCCGGTGATCACCTGTGTCAAGTCCAGCACGAAAGGTTTCCGTGATGCCTCTCGATAACGGCGTGCTCTCGGTTGCCCAAGTCGTTCCTTCCACTCCTCCACGAGGACCTAGCGGAGTTAGAATTTTTGGTCCTCGATTTCTCGAGTCTCAGAAATCCGACCCAACTCCCGAGCCACAATACATAATTACCCTAATTTTTAGAAGAATAAGACAAATAAGTATGTTACCAGTGGCGTGCAAACTTCCACAAGAATCTTATCGAAGGCCTTGGTCACTGGCTCTTGCGGTATTAGACGTCTCTGCGGGTAGACATCGTCTAAGTACTCGACTACAACCAAACTCTCGTAAATCGACATTCCATCAGAGATTTCTAAAGCTGGCACTTTTGCTGTGAAATGTCAAACATAATTAGAATAAAAAACCATTAAAAAGAATATTAAAGACACTATAAAAACTAGACTGTCTTTCCAAAACATTATGTGATATTACAGAGACCTACAATGTAATCAAGGATGGGAAGAACCATTGTTCGACTGATAGAATCTGAAGGCCAATTCTCGTAATACAAGTTCGGTCACAATTAATTTTCGTACCTAGTCAAATAGTAAGGTATTAAGACTAACATATTACCGATTCAATTTTCGGTTACAATACAATATAATCACATTACAGTGAACGTTGGATGTTTAATACATTACTACTAATATACCTTTTATGACAGTTGTGAGATCGAAAGTTGATCAGAACCGAATCGATACCGAACTTATATTACGAGAATTAGCCTTCAGTGCAAACTGCATGAGATGTAGGTAATGGACCGAATACTACTGTCAACATTACGTACTCAGGAGTTAGAATTGTAAAAATATTATTTAATATATTAATTTTGTTCGTCTTATTACAGTAAACAAAGGAGTAAGTGCTGGTGTGGCTGATTAATGTCCGAGAGGTTAGGCGGGAGGCTTATGAGTTTTGACAGTGTTTTCTAATTCCTATCAATTGCAGAAATTGCCAGAACTTAGAGGGGTCTCAGTTTTCTACAGAGCTATGGCATAATAGCATATCAGTATGCGTTATGCTGTGCACACCTTACTGCATAAGTTTCGTACCCTTAAACCTGTATATATCTAAAACGTCTAACTATAATTTGATGTATGAATATATTTTAATAACCACAAATTGTCTTTTTGCGCAACAAAGAAAATTCAGATAATATATGTATATTTATTGACAGTCTAAATTGGTAAATTAATGTAATGTAAACAAATGAATTATCTATACAAATAAATAAAACTGGAGTGTCTGTTTGTAATATTAAAATAACCGCTTTTTAACTGTAAATGCATATGTATGTTTACATATGCCAAAATAACATTATTTTCATTTTTTGTCTGTCTGTCTGTCTGTCTGTTTGTTCCGGGTAATCTCTGGAACGGCTGGACCGATTTCGACGAGACTTAGATAGCTGGCACTGATCACTGGCAGATAGCTGATGACATAAGGAGTAACTTAGGCTACTTTTTTTAGACTAGCTTCGCCCCGCGGCGTTGCCCGCGGTTATAACAACAAACGCGGGTAACACCGCGGGTCTCAGCTAGTTACACAATATAATCACATTACAGTCAAAGTTGGATGTTTACTCGTAATTACTAGGAGAATATCTTTTATGACATTTGTGATCGAAAGATCGGAACTGAATTTTAAACGATTTTTAATTACGAGAATTGACGTTCTGAGGTCGCACGCTATTTTATTTTTCTCTCACATGACCCGTCCCAGAGCAGGCGGCGAAGACTTTAAACTAAACTAATTATTAAGAAACTTATAAATACGAGTGAATATGAAGCAAGACATGTGTATCATGTTCAGTTTTTGTTTTACAAAAGATGATTTATTAATTCATAGACGGAAAAAACCCTTACTGAGAGCACTCTTCGAAGCAAGCCACTCGGGCTTATCTATGAGGTCTATATTCACCACTTCAAAGTCAATATTCTTGGCAATAAGTGCCAAGGCGGCGCGTTGGGCAAACGGGCAAAAGCGCATGTTGTAAAGTCGCAGCTTCCCATTGTATGGCGGTAGTGGATCACCTGAAAAAGATTAAAGGGGGATTTTAAGATAAAGTAAACAATGCTTTCTAAAATATTTATCTTTAAGAAAGAAACCATTAACCAATCCATTGCCCTTTTATTTTGAATTGTTTCTGTTTCTCTATAATAAATGTTGTTATAAAGTGTCCCTCAATTCAGTGTTCCTCTTGGTAAAGGCCTCCTTTTGCTCCTGCCACTGGTTTCTGTCACGAGCCACTCTCCTCCAATTGGGGTCCGCCGTTTGTTTGACGTAATACCATTAATAATACCATTAACTACCATTACTAATATATAAATCAAATGTCAAGCCTCCATTGAAAGAAAGTCTCATGGAAAAAAAGAACTTTCACCTTTTTTATTTCATCTGAGGTCACGTTATGTGTTTTATTTCTACTCTACTTGTTTATCATCTTCACCGGCGACCTGCCCCGATGATAAATTAGCAACATGCTTGCGGGAGTTATCGTCCGGCACTTATGCGATTATTGCGCGTCCGTGTAGGACAGGAGACTTACGGGTGATGGATTTCGATAAGTCCATCACCCAAACCGAGGTCACCATAGCTTTAGCAGCATTGGGGGGATGTCTAATAGCCGACATTATCGCTATCCATTAAATTGCGGCCGCTAAAAGGGTGCAGGTGGGCTGGGTTTCGGCCCGTGCTCGGACACATGAGAGCGAAGTGTCCTAACGAGACAGACCGTGGGGCGCGGTGTTAGGCTTGCGGCGGCACACACGTGGCGAGCAGATGGACAGCAAAAGTGCCGAGGTGCCCAGTCTGCTCGGACCTTGGCCGTCCCGTAAATCATCGGCTGGGGAGCAAGAAGTGCTCCCCGCCGAAGAAAATAAAAGAAAAGGCGGCTGCCGAGCGCCCCCGCCCCAGGCTTGGCGAGCACTGATACCAGACAGAACTCGCCGGCCGCAAGAGCGCTACAGCCGGTAACCCGTCCGGCAGAGGAGGTAATGGAGGCCTAAAATTCACGTCACCCCAAAAAGTTTTGCAGGGCAACCTAAATCACTGCCGCGCATGTGAAGATCTGCTTATGCAGACGCTCGGTGAGCAGTCGGTTGGCTGAGCCGTAAGGCTCCGCCAACACTGCTAGAGCAACGTCCCGGGTCACCCCGGTGTTTTGGATCGGATATGCCGTCAGGCACCGCCGCCATATACTGGGAAGGGGTGGATAATGGCCTCTACTGCACCCCTATTCAGAGACAGCTGGGATTTTTGGCAGTAGAAAGGGGGCCCCATGGTCATTGTGGGCTGCTACATATTTCTGAATTGCGGCCTGCCTGTATTTTAGGCGTACTTGGACGGCCTTAGGAGCTGCATTTGCACTTACCTGTTCCGTCCAGTACTTACCTTGGGCGATTTCAACGCCCGCTCCACACAGTTGGGAGATCGCCTCTACGTTACAGTCTACGTCTTACGTTAAGTGGAGATGCACTCATTGAGTGGGCGACGGGACTGAACCTCGGCATTCTGAACGGGGGTTCGGTCAGCACCTGTGTGCGGTAGCAGGGGGAGTCGATCGTCGACCTGACGTGGGCGACTCCTTCGGCCATCGACTAAGTGTCGGGATGGAGGGTGGCGGAGGAGGTGGTCACTTTGTCTGACCATCGCCACATAGTATTCGATGTGGTCATCTGCCGTCATTAAGCTCCGACCGTGGGTCCCGCCGCTGACACAGACCCTGGACCTAGAGATACCCTTTTCCCCGGGGCCGGGGCAGTCCCTCACGCCCCCCGTCACCTGTACCTGCTGCAATGCTGGCGGGTGAGGAGGGCTGGGGCGCAGTGGTCTCTTTCTGTAAGGCTGTAATGCTCCAGAAAGAGACCACTGAGCGGGATCGGGAGAGGGCCGATCCCGACCGTAGAGGATCAGAGGCAGCCCGCTGCCAGAGAGTGGGGACCTCTGGTGGCAGATTGATTACTGCGTTAAGGGACATGGAGGCGGCCTGATCGGACCAAAGTGCGATTTGGCTCCTAGATTAAATGATAGACGGGGGGAAGCTTTTGACTTCCCTCAGTATAGGGCCTAGTGGGTGCGGCGTCGATCTGGGGAGGCCTCAAATTGCATGGTCCGGCGCCTGAAGCCAGCCGTCAGAGTGTATTTTAGTGAAGACACCACATACTCCTGGCTCCTGCGTCTCCTAGGAGCCGGAGATAAGAAGGGATTTTCCACCCCGACACCAAAACAAAAAAAAAGTCATGTCTGTTACATGACTTGTGTGAAATACAGAAAAGTTAACAAATTTTTACTAAACTCATTTTTTAAGAAACTCCTTAATACGAGTGAAGGACAGGCAATGAGTATCATTATTCACTTGTTTTACAAAAGTCAACGAATTATTCTGTTAAGTATTGTATATTATGAAGTTTTAAGATTTACTTAGTAACTTTTGACGTGACGTCAATACGGATGCTTGTTTTTAATATCATTAAAAGTAACGTAAATGATGAATTTTTATTTTTTTCTTAAGTTTTGGAAGTCCAAAAAAAATATAATATTGATTTTGTAAATAGGATATTTTAGAACAAAAACGACTTTTTGATAGAGTTCCCGGTAACGGGACTCGTTACGTATTGTAACGAGTCCCGTTACCGGGTTAATTGTTCACATCATTGCCGAGTATTATGACGAACGCAATAAGACTAAACAATTATTAACACAACAAAACTTTTCTAAACAAATATCTCACGAACAACAACAATATTACTATTACGAGAATTTGTCGTGAGCTCATCTACAAGGACACAGAACAGCATAACAATCAGCGATTAGCGGTGGCTAAGAGCCGACTGACTGTACTTACTGGATGAACTAATTAAAACCGCGTAATAATGAGAATTAATATTATTAGTAATAATAACTATTTTTGTTAATTTCTTATCAGGTATGTTTTTTTTTTCAAATAATCAAGATTTTTTAATTAAAGGAACGTACAAAATAAACGATTTATTATTATTATTTATATTTGTTACCATTGTGTGTACCAACTTTTTTTTCAAATACCAGCTTTGGCTCACCACAATCTAACATCCCTGTTTTTTATTGTTGAAAACGCTAGCGACTGTAGCACATTCATACTAGCACAGTTGCCACTGTTACCCTTACTTAAGGGGAATTACTAGTGTATGCTCATTTTCAGCCTTAGTCAGTGTAAATGGTGGAAAAAGCAACAATTAATCGGCCAGCAGTATTATACTATTACATAAAATATGCATTAGTAAGTACCATGTAACTATTTTTTCTTTTTATAAATTGATTTGATTTCTTACACTGCTGTCAAAATTTCGAATAAATTAGAAAACGGTGTTTGTTTAGATCATAATAAAAGTCCTACATAGATGTTTATTCTATGTCAACCTTATAATGAAAACGAGAAACCACAAAATAAATTTCTTTAGTGCTGAGGAGTGTAATCAGTAAATAATACAAGCGACCACCCTAAACGCATCAACAATAAAATTGTACAATGCGATCGGCGATTTAATGACAATTTACATACGGCACGGTAGTAAGGCCCTGGTGTTGTTCCTGTACGGTTCTGTTGAGTGTTATCTGTCTGGCTCTAACATCAAAATGGCGTCGGCAAGAGACCGTAAGGCTTGGTCTCAGATTTTAGAACTATATCATAAGGAATTTCCTTATTTATGGGACAAGTCAAGTCACATGTACAGTAATAAAACCATGCGTAATGATGCATATAAAGTTCTTACACAAATCTACAGGGAAAACTTTGATTTAGACGCATCGGTTGACACATTAAAAAAGAAACTAGAAAATATGCGTACAACGTACTTCAGAGAACTAAAGAAAGTATGTATTTTTTCTTTTAATCATTACGATTTACACAAGACTAAATAGAACTTAATCAGATTGTTGAAATTGGAATCAGATTGTATTCAAAGCAATCAGATCGTGTCAAATTATGGCGAAACTCATAAACTTTACACAACTACAGCAAGGGGGTCGGGTCGGGGGATAATAGATTGACATTTGTATCCTGGTTTGCCAGCTTTGTTATTTAATTTGTCAAATTTGGTAGTAATATAAAGTAGATTGATTTCCTTTTCTTAATTTTAAATCTTTTTCTTTTGAACTCAAAGTAATTTTGCTTACAGGTTAAAAAATCTATTCGTAGTGGTGATGTTGAAGTTTATGAACCGTCGCTGTGGTATTTTGAGCAATTAAGTTTTTTATCTAATTTATATGAGTCTAACGGTCGACATTCAACTAAACCCCAAGCAACAGATCCTTTAAAATCAGAGGTAAATACTGACCTATCTAATTTTTAATTTAAATAAACCAAATATTTTTAATCATAAATATGTCATCAAAGTGTTTAATGTAAGCAAACATAAAAATATACTTTTATTTCTAAAATATCATTATCTACTTTCTTTAATGTAGGACACAACTCAGGATACCAGTGATAGCGAGTGTACTTATGAACTATCAACATCACAAGAACATACTAATAAAAGAACGGAATATAGAAAAAAACCCAAAATAACAGTTTTCAAACAACAAGAACATCAGAATACAACTACAAAAACTGCTCCCATGAAAACTGAAGATTGGGAAGTAATGGGCAGGTCTATAGGCCTACAGTTGCGAGACATCAGCCAGAAGCAATTGACTATAGCTTCAAAGTTAATTTCAGATGCAATTTATTTTGCAAAATTAAATCGATTATCAGAGGAATCTCATATCGATATAGGTTCAGCCACGGTCACGACACCGTTATGCGCAATATGCGCAGCACAAGAAGGCGACTGAAAAATAAATATCCAAGTTAAATTTTGTGTTATCTTTGGCGTCCCTACAACAACAAAATATTATGCTTGAACATTTAAAGTTAAATTTATCTGTTACTAATTGTAACAACTATTTTAATGTTGTTTACCGATCGTAAAAATCGTTTAAAATATTATAATAAAATGAAAAAATCTATTTACAATTTCTTTATTTTCTTGTCCTATACTTTAAATATTATTAATATTGGAACTAAGTTAAAAGTAAAAGCGTACGTTACAAAAAAGCGTTAGTCGCTATCTCTCTCGCTCTTCATTTACCGTCTGAAGAGATTATTTTTTTCAGCGAGAACGAGATTGCGCATTTTTTTCTTTTCATAAATCGAGAACAACGCATCGGATCTCGAGACATAAACCGTATAACTTTTAGAGAGTTTGATAAAATGAAACCAGTCTTGTTTCTTTAAAATCACCAATCATCTTTAGTCAATAGAACAGTATAGAACAATACACAACACAGCACATGTACAATAGTAAACAGTCTTTAGTCAATAGTAAATAAAAAAAGCGTATTATTCTCATCATTACGACATCGCAACTCACAATTTAAAGTGAACTGAGGTCCTTAAACTTTAATTTGATTGGACGTTATAAATAGAATGTGTAATATTTTAAGTATCAAGAGGGCATATATTAAATAGCTTCTAATTTTTATATACAATGACCTTTCAAATCAAATCACCGTGTCCATAAATTTCACCAAAAATCATAGGTAAAATGTATAAATAAAAGCCGTATGTCAGCCTGTAAGTTGAACCGTGACAGCGTTAGAGAGAGAAAAAAGATTGTGCGGGTGTTGCATCTCTCTCTCCTCTCTTCAATGATTGATTGATTGATGCTGTTAAGCGCCTACATCCAGCTTTCCTACACTACTCTAGTTTTTAACTCTATGCCAAAAATACGTTTATTAGCGTCTGCGGTAGAATTTCTACAAAAAAGTGGTAACACTGATTGGTAACACTTATTATCGAACATAAAATCCTTGAAAAAAAGTAATGATTTACAGTTATTATTACAGATTTCTGTTCTATTTCCAGTCTGTGCATATAATGAAATGGCTCTATATATATGATAACTATTTTATTTGTTTTGGCACTGAGAGTTTTGAACAATGCGATGTATTTAGAAAACTAACCTTTTGTCAGATGTTTTGTGTTAAAGTTGATCTTCGTCTTTATTGACATATTTCTTGGCAATAAGTATCCCAGCACTTGTCGGACTGCTCGAATTCCATGAAATGATGAAATAAATCTATGTATAACGAAAGCAGTCGTTGAAGTTAACATAATAGATATTTTTGACAACAATAAAAGATAATAAAGTAGTAAGGTACTGTTTGAGGTAACTGTAGTAATTAAAGGTGAATGTATTCGATATAAGGGGTCCTTCATAAATTACCTCACACGAACTTTCATAGTGTGACGTCACATATTTTGCAATTTTTACATCTAGAAATTATAAAAATAAGACAGCAGGGGCGAAATTAGTTTATAAATATAGGATTTGAATTTTTATGTCACAAAACTTCTCATCCCACATATCGTCAAAAAATGTCATACTTCGTCAACCTCCTCCCCTCTTAACTTGTGACTTAATTTATAGATGACCCTTAAGCGTAATTTTTTTAAAGACAACTCAACAAAAGACAACAATAATATATTCCTGTGTCGCGGGTGACTTTACAGATATACATGAAACGGACACAAAGAACACCCAGACTCAGAACAACAACTTGTGACCACACATAGTGTTGTTTCATTCAGGGATCGAAACCACAACACTCAGCGTAATAGGAAGCGGTGAGGTGACCGCTTAAACCACTACGCCATCCGTTTTATGACTATAATTAAAATATTTTATAAATACCTATCTCGCAGCTGATGCTTGTAAGACTAATAACTTGATAACTAGGCAGTTATCTATCATATATATATACATAGATAATAATATCTGCCCTGTCATGCCATGCATACGTATATACACATTGGTAGATTACACAGTATACATACACAGTATACATTGACGTAACTTCGATTTTGGATATTAATATTTGCTTTTAGTTAGAGATTTTTTTTCACCATTGAGCAATGTTTTAACAGGCTGAGTAGTACAGTAAGTACAACATGGGAATAATCCGAATTTAGTTATTGTTGCTAGCTATTTATACAATGACTGATAGTTTTGTGAATAAGGTTTCAAAACATTGGCACAAATGTATTTAGATACGAAGGGGAAGGTGGTTAAGTCGCTTAACAACACTATTGTCTATATCTAAGAATGGTCCTTTCAGCAACACTCAGCATCGGGTCATAAAGCTGGATCCACCCAAGCGTGGTTGAAAACTCTGATCATCATAGGTGAAGACTTTCCGTCATCTAGTTAGTTCTATAGAGTATGACATGCTCTAAATGCCACGACAATTTGGAGCCTAAAACAATCCATAAGATTGACTGTGACGAATTTTCCCACGGAGAGATAGTTTATATTGATAACTGGCCTCCGTGTTTAAAGAACTTTATTAAAGCCAATGAAGATCAATTTGAATAAGGTTCACATATTTTTAATGTTTTTTTTCTTTTTTTAAGACAAATCCCGCACTACTAATATTTTCCAGTGTCGTAGGGGACTTTAATAATATACAATTATACATGAAACGGACACAAAGAACATCTAGACTCAGAACATCATGTGGGGATTGAACCAACAACACTCAGCGTACTAGGACTACGCCATCCGTGTAGTCATCAGTATTATATTTTATTAAAAACTAATTAATGCTAGTATAAATTAACACATTCTAGTAATACATTACAGGAATTAAAAAAATCTTAGTAACTCAGGCTCAAACTCAAAAAATCTTTATTTCATAATTTTGTTTTGATATTTTAAATTGAAATTGAAATCGTCTCTTGTGTATACTCTCAAGTCATAGATCAACACACACAATAGCAACAATCGATGTTTTGTCAAATATTTAGCAAACTAACAATATTTATTGTAAAACTAGGCACTAAAATATTCTAAATTTGAAAAATGTAACAGGTACATCTGGTAATTCTGTGATTCGTTGTATTTTTCAAAAGAACCATTATTCATATTGTAATTGAGCCATTGTCCCATCTCTTATCATTCAATATTATACTCTATGGTGCCAAAGAATTTCAAAAGCACGCTTTGTTTAACGTCCTTTCCAGTACTCAAGTTCTATTATTCAGCACCATTACATTCATTGTTCAGGCAACCCTTTTGTATGTTGTTGAGGCAGCTTGACATCTTTCCATTGTATAAATTGAAGTCGCTTTTTTCTGGTACGCTTAGTTCTTTCAAATTAAGCAACGGATTTAAATGCGAGATAGGCAAAACTGATTTTGCAATTGACCAACGTAAATATGAAGCTTAGGTGAGCATTACTTTACCATCATTTTTAGCTGAAGACGTGAATTGTAATTAAAATCTCTGTTCTGAATTTGTTCAAAATTGTCTTTAACAGCAAATCATTAAAATGAATATCTCATTAGATATCAGAGATTTAAAATGCGATGGCAGAGAGGTCGTCGCTGCGCCTGCGCGCACCCCTGGGTGGCAGCGACAAGAGCAGAGTGGGCCTATAAATATTGCCCATAAAGATGTCCTGTAGTATAGTCTTATCATAATAGTAGTTTAATTTATTACACCATATTAGTGGTATCTACAGACATTGCACCGATGCGAAGCTGGGGCAGATCGCTAGCATCAAATATTTACATTTACATATTTAGTCATTTCTAATATCGAAAATTGAGTTCATTTGAGTTTTTGGAAACTCAATGCAACACATGAGTCTAGCTCTTAAAAATATCGATTGTGATACTCTAAAAAAATCGATAATTAATGTCCATAGTACCCAATTAATGTTTTGTAGGAATTCTTAACTATCAAGACATTATCACACATTTTCATTAGTAAAACTAATCAAAACCAGAATCTGATCAACAGTGTACGGTCAAACTCAAATCTATTGCAGCGCTGGTTGGAAAAAAGTCTAACTACTGAAAATACTCTTTGGGGACTCTTACTACGTGGCGACACATGCCGAGGCGAGAAATCAGCATCCGAATTAAGAATAATAACATTTCATCTCTCAATCGCAATCTCAGGCTCAAAAGGTTTAAACCACGTGCAAACTGATTCAACTCGGTTCAAATACTGGTTTAAATCGGTTAGAAAAGTCGAGTCGTCACACCACTATTCGTATCAAAGGTTATTCGAATCAATGTCTAGTTTCATCTACAAATATTTTATCCGAAAAGTTTAGTCTGTTCTGTTCTGTCTACTGTCTATTAATTAAGACATAATTCACCGGATGTAGACACTAGCCACTCTAGCCAGTTTTATTACTTGTTTTTTTAAGTCTGCATTGCGTTCAAGTAGGGTTCTTTGAATTTTATGACTTATTAGATAGATTTTTTGCCTACTGCCAAAAAAACGAGTTTCTTTTTCGACCAAAATGTCTGAAAAACATTTAAAATCCGGTAAGTTTTATAAATTAAATTTATAGTATCTTAATTGTTATTCTGATGGATTAACTTTATTTGATATTTTTAAGGCGATGCTCTACCTGAATTTGGGGGTAAATTGCGTCTTTTTGCCATGAGATTTTGTCCATATGCTGAAAGAACTGTCCTTGTATTGAATGCGAAGAATTTGCAGTATGATATAGTTTTCATTAACTTAGATCAGAAGCCGGAATGGATTTACAACTTCAGCCCCAAAGGTAACGTAAAATTACATTTGCATATTTTAAGTATCTAACGTATGGTGACGGATTACGAATACGTAATGTCACAACCCCTATTCATCCCGTGGGTGTCGTAAAAGTCAACTAAGGGAGAAAACTACGCAAGACAACAGCACTGCAAAGAAAAGGAAAACTTGAAACAAACCCTATACCAACCCGTCTGGCCAGCGTGGTAACTATACCACGCTGGCCAGACCTCTCCAGGCCTCTCCTCTGAAAGGAGGTTTCGGCCTGCTAAGGCCGAAACCTCCTTTCAGAGGAGAGGCCTATGTCAAGCAGTGGATTATCATAGGTTGTTAATCCGTCATAAAAAAATAAACAGCCCATGCACTTGAGCCAGTCAAAAATGAAATTTTAAAATTCTCTCATAAAATCAAAAAATTAGGATCAGTTTTTTGTTTGTGTACTAATAATGAAGAAGAAATACATGTGTTTATTAGATCTGCATCTTGTGTCTTTACCTTTAATGTTGTATGCATTCGAAAGAGATGAATATAGTTTTGATGATGTATTTTGAAATATTTGGAACAAATAAGCAATCACCGTATGACGGTGGCTGGGCGCTTAAAGGGTAAGATAATCCACTGTGAAATGGTGGTGTTGCGCTTTAGAGGATATCCATGTACAACAACAGTGGAACAGTGCCATTGCTAGATTCATAATCACAACTGTGTAATTAAGTATCACTGTTAGAAATGAAAGGGGTGTTTCTACTTCCTTGCTCACTGTCTACAATAATATTATTTCTAAAATTATTTAAAAGCATAGTTAGATGTTAGTTCTTCTAGTCTCGTTAGTCATTAGATAGATCAAAAAAGATAATGTCTTATTAGACAAAATGCATGATTGTAACATCCTCACACATCTCACACACGGCCATCTGATCTCAAACTAGATAGTTAGAACATAATTTATAAGTATGTTTCAGTAGCCTGGTTAAGATAATAAATCTTAACCAGGCTACTGAAACATACTTATAAATTTCTAAACACATCCAGACAAAACAAATAATGAGTTTACCTAATCAATTGTTCAAGCAGTCACCTCACCGCTTCCTACTGCGTCGAGTGTTGTGGGTCCAATCCCCACAGTGGACAACACTTTGTGTGATTCACAAATTGTTGTTTTGAGTCTAGGTGTTCTTTGTGTCTGTTTAATGTTTGTTTGAAAAGTCCCCTGCGACACAGGATATATTTCTTTCGAGGGAGTGGTCTAGAAAAGAAAAATTATCATGCTCTTCACATAATTTTTTGTTAGGTGTGGTAATTGAACATATGATCTGTGGCTTAGCAATGAGGATCAATTTTCACTAGACTTGACTAGACTAACAGGCTGGTTATGCTGTAGTACTGACTGAAGTATATTATAATAAAATCACAAACTTGATCAGCAACTATAATACTTTCAAGAAACAACTAAATTCCTCTACTGTTTTTAAAGAAACTCTCAAAGAAGTCAATGAGGATCTTGCTCTATTCATTGACCAGAATCTTCCGTATCTTAATTCAAAAATATGCTTATTTTATGTAAAACCTAATCTAAATTTAGATAGACATAGAAGTCCGTCTTTTGTGTATGTAGCTTTTCAACATTCTTGAAAATTGAACTTTTCATTGTAGTCTAAATCTAGGTGAAATGTAGGTGATTAAATCGAGCTCCAGAGCAACTCAAGCTTGATGCAATACCACATAGTATATCTGACAACGGACCGTTCAACTCATTCCTGAGCTGCTAGCAGTACAGTGGTCTATGCTGATGTCTGATACGATTGCTCCGCCAAGTTATGCAAAAAGAAAAAACTTCGCTAATTTTTTTTTCGGAATTTGTCAAAATCGATGGAAACAAGATTTTTTTTATCACGAAGAAACAAAGAAGTTAGAAGGGTTTTAAGTAGGCCGTATGACGTATCGTGGAGGATTGCGCGTTCATTGACATCTCAGCAACTACTTCGGTTAGATATCTAATTCTTTATGAATTTTAAAGACTGAATTTGTCAGATTGTCGAAAAAGCTCTAGATCAATATTTTACGAAATATTCACCTTGGAAGTTATGGCTGCGCACTTGTATTGTAATAGTTGTTTCTTTTTTATGTAAGACTTCTATTACCAAAATAATAATCTTAATTTGTCAAACACTACTAATGCAACCAATAAATAATACTAAAGTCTAGCTAAACAGACCGCGCGGTCGAAACGTTATTTTGACGCTGATATCTCATATCTATAATTGCTAGGATTTGGGTGTAAACATCCATTTATGCAACATAAAAAATCTCATCATGACGTAGAATATCGTTTACCCACAGAACTGAATGTTAATTCTCGTAATAAAAAATTCGTTCAAAATTCAGTTCCGATGTAGTCTCGATCTCACAAAAGGTATTTTCGTAGTAAAGTAATATACATTCAGCGTTGATTGTAATGTGATTACATCGTATTATGAACAAAAGTTGAATCGGTTATCTGCTAGTCTAAGTAATACCTACTTTAATACTAAAATAAATCGGCATGAAATTTTGAACGAATTGTTATTACGAGAATTGACCCTCTGTTTTCAACGCGTGTAATCTCAAACAAGATATTATCTGATATAATGTTCGAATACGACAGCCATAATTTCGATTTGATTTGGAAACTGGAGACTAGTCATTATATTGGACCACATCCAGCTCGATCTGCATTATAAATAAAAAAAACTTGTATATTTCATTAACAAGATATGTTTATTCATTACAGCTTGCAAAATAACAAAAATATGAAATTTACAGAAGACCAACAAATCCATATACTTCAGGCTATTGCCGTCCACTGATGAACAAAGATTGGCGCTGTTTGGGGACTACCCCAAAGAGCGCCAATCCATTCTAATATTATAAATGCGAAAGTGTGTCTGTCTGTCTATCTGTCTGTTGCCTCTTCACGCTTAAACCACTGAACCTTACTTACCAATACCAATAATACAACCTATCAACGTATCACAGAAATCATCTTTTAAGGGGGGGTGGGGTATAGTTTGATTGTTGACGAAGGACATAGGCTACGCTAGACTTTTTACCGCGAAAACCGACATACACGCGGGCGTAGCCGCGAGCAAGAGGTAGTAAAAAACAATTCTTTAAAAACCTCTACAGAACCATTTAACACCTTTGCTGTTTTGTACATCTCAAATTGGAACAAAAACAAACCTCTAAATGCAAAAAAAAAGACCTCTAAACAATAACAAGTTTGTTTCTTTTAGTGCAGTTGTTTAGTTGTAGCCTTTTAATACTACCATAGCAGTAATGGCTGACCTGCTAATGATATTACTAGTGATAAGTTTTTACATCACTGCTATGTCACTCGCGCGTTGACACTGCAAAAACACACTAGACTACGCGAGTTTGGCAATTGTACGAGTTCCTACCTTCAGAATCAGACCAGACCCACTCCTCGTTCAATTGATACCTAATAGTCAGTGTGTTACTCACCTGAGCATTTAAATATGTCGTTTAAATGTACTTACTCATCTACAATTTATACATGCTATAATTTATTTATTTGAATGCCCTTAGGTACTGTGCCCGCACTCGAATACGAACAAAATAAGGGCATATTTGATAGCAACATAATTAATGTGTATTTGGATGAAAAGTACCCTGATGTATCCCTGCAAGCCCAAGACCCACTACGCCGGGCTCAGGACAAAATGATTGTTGAAGGCTTTACTGGTGTGAGTATTAAATTGTGGTCACCCTAACGTCCATTAGTTAAATAAACTTAGAGAAAAATTTGTATGTGCATGGAGCATAAGCACTTATTAAATGTGTCTACTCTCTTACTCACTCTTATTAAATGTGTCTACTTAGGAGTTATAACAACCATATATCTTAAATAGGTTCATTAATGATTTACAGGCTCAGTCTGCTTACTACACGGCTGCCTTCAACTCTTTGGCTCTAACACCAAATATGGTGGAGACCTACCACAAAAGTCTGGAGATTCTGCAAAAAGAGATCGAAAGCCGCGGCACCAAGTTCTTAAATGGAGACAGTCCGGGACTAGTTGATTATACTCTATGGCCATTCTTAGAGCGATTCGAAGCTCTTCCACTTATAGGCAAAACTGAGTTCGCCATTGACAAGAGTAAATATGAAGCATTGGTAAGCATTAATTTAACATAAATTTTAGGTTAAGATGTGAATTCTAATTAAAATCTCTGTTCTGAATCTGTTGGTTTGCGAAACACAGTAAAGCCCATATTACATAATATACTAATGAACCCAAACTTAAAACAATAATCAAAAATTAAGGTTGCTGCTCTGTTGCCTTTGTTTTTCGGACCTGGCGAACTGTAAAACACTATAAAGCTATATCATTCTTAACAACGTACTTCTTGCAGGTTACCTACATCTCAGCTATGAAGAATGCACCGGCTGTGAAGGCCTACTACTTAGCTGCAGAAACTCACGCCAAGTTTATCGAATCGCGTGCCAAGGGAGACCCAGATTACAATATGTTGGACACTAGCGCAGTCTGCTGCATGCGTCCTAGAAAGAAGAAGGAATAAGAACACAAAATATAATTCTACTGATTTTGTTTCTTAATGTATTATCACAATACTAGTAGTACATTGTCACAAGTACAATATTACTATAAATTATACAGTTTTTCAATAAAATATTTTTTTATTGTTTCCTTAGTACAGTAACAAATAAATTTTCAATTATCACCTGATACCTTGTTAATAATAGTTTATTTACATTTATTTTACATGAGATGTGATTTGATGATGTGTCAAGTTTCGGCTGGAACAGATCTGAGCTGTCGCCTTCTGTAGTTAGGGTGCTTCTACACGGTGCAAGTAGCTGGAGCGGGCAAAGACGTGGGTTACTTGTGTCAGCAGCATGCACGTGGTTCTTGCGTCTATGGTTGATTTAATGTGCATGCTACTCGCGCCGGTTATATGACGTATGCGTCGTGCTCGTTTCAGATTTGACAGTACCAGGGTGCTTGTACATAGTGCATGTAGCTGTCTGTACCTGTGCAAGTAACGCGCGCTTGTCGCTGGACCACCATAGTCCTTTTCGCGAAGCAAATAATCTGTGCAAGTGCCCCAACATGCGCAAGCTACTTGCATCATGTAGAAGCACCCTAAATGTTCTATCTTCTAAAATAGTCCTAGATAATGATGTGTGATGCGGCTTATGTAAATGATAACAGTAAAAATGATAAGTATATGGATAAATATCCATATACTTACAAACAAACTTATCATACATGTGTAGGTAGGTACATATTATTGATAAGATTTTAAAACTTGTCACTAGTCATCGTGTGTAGCCATTCGTATTCCATTGTGTTCTCCACTCAAGGTGAACTTATAACTAAATTTAAAGTGTCTGTTTGTAATATCAAAATAACGGGTTTTTTCATGCTCACACGGTTATTTGCACGATACCTATGCCTATGATCCAGTTTAAATACAAATCTGCTAGACCGATTTTAATTATATTTTACTACCAGATAGCTGTCTATATAAGGAGTAATTAGGGCAATTTTTCTCAGAAAAACCCTATAAAATTTTGTCTGGTCCGGAAATCTAACCCACTAAGGCAGAGCTTTCAAATTCCGCACGAAGTCGCGGGCACCAGCTAATATTTAATAAATTAGTTTTACAATTTTTTTTACTAAGAGTAGTCATTTATACCAATTGTAAATTTTAACTAGGTTATGAGATTTAGATGCCTATCAGTTACGACCGAGGGACCACTTTTGACCAATTATAACTTTTGAGTAGTACTTTTACAAATGTGGTCCCGCAATGGTTACGCAGACGGTTATCTATAGCCGTTACTTTCATTCCTTGAGAAATACTGAGAATACCTATTAAATACTGACCTCAGTGGTACTTAAAAAAGTCAGAATTGAAATAGATTCCGCCAGAATCCTCACAAAAAATTTACACAAAAGTAAATTTTGATAACTTGTACAAAACATTATTATGTGGCATGTTACTTACTCATTTTGCATTTTCTCTTACCCCAAAGGCAAATCCTGGCCACAGTTTTGAATAAGTTTTTTATTTTAAAAGCATAATAAAAAAAAGGTGCATGCATATAGTTAGTTACATAAAGCAATAAAAAAAAGAATTACTAGCAGGATTGGTCGCACCGTGTGAAAAATAAATATTAATTATTAGTCATCATTTTTTACTTTTTCACACGGCGCGTATTACAACGATGAGTCATTTTATTTTAATTTCTATTTATGGGAACCTATCTATTGAAGTAAAACAAATACGTAAGTATAAGTCAAACAGGGTTAAAATAAAATAACAAATTAATGGTATAAAATAAATTCATATACTTCACAATATTAACACAACCTCCAGTATGTTTCTGTGCCTATAAATATTCAGTGATCACAAGCACTGGATTAACAATTTTAATAGGTGTCCATTTTATGTGTAACATTTAACATTTAAGTTTATTCTAGTACATAGTTTTAAGTAACATTTCATGCTTGAGATTCGAGAATTCATTAATAGTCGAATATACATATAACACTAATAAGGAACATAAAATAATAAATAATAGTATGTTAAGTTTGATTTAATTTTATAAAGAAAAAACACGGTAAAATATAGAGTATTATATTAACTTAATTATATCATGAAGGCAGAGTCAGTTGTAACACAATTTATCACATGAGGTGGCTACATTTTATATATTCTGATTAATGTACTTCATATTGAACCTGTTTAGCTGCCGAACACTCGAACTGACAGCTTAAGCGCGAAAAGATTGCTCTTTTCATTACAAGATGTTTTAACCAGAACTATTTTAAGGTAAAGCATTCTACAGATTACAATAAATTATTTTTGTTATTTTACTACATACACAATTACCATCTGCCATTATTATCAAGTGTTAACATACAGTGCAATAGACATTAGTCTCCCAGTACTTGGTCTTATATATAAATAGAATTGAATGGTCTTATATAATAAATTGAAAACTTGTGTCAATTGATTCTAGATAACATAACACACCTTTTAAGAAAGTATTTGCTTGCATGAATTTTGGAAGAGATATGCTTGTTGTTTAAAAATACATGCAAATTATACTCTATATGAATAATTATATTTTAAAAGGCTTCGCCGACTTTAATGTGCCTTAATCATGTCATTTTTTTTTCATCCAGAGTTATTTTTTTTAAACAATTTCAACCTTGATTGTACTCAATTCAATTAAAAAACAATAATTGAAATCGAATTGAGAGCCTTTCGTTTTTGAGATCCGTTAAAGAAGGAGTTGATCATTACCAGGGAAACCTTTATGCTTCTTGTCAAGCCATGAAAAAGATGTAAAATCAAAGGAGCTTCGTAATCGGGACAGCCCTCCAAATGATGAAGTTAAGTTCTATGAAGTTATTCCGTGCCCACCCAGCCGAGACCTAATTGAAATTCCGTTGCAAAAAATATTTGAAAATAGGTCCGTAGTAGCTTCTTTTACTTTTTACTACGCGAATTACAAACATCAAAAGTAACTCAGTCTTTAGTAGGAAGCACAAACAACAGCATAAATAAAGCGTCGTTTATTTGAATATAACTAAAAAAATGAGTATATTTATAAATGAGTGGTAAGAGTAGTATTTCCGTGTGGTGACGCGACGAACTAAGAATAGACTGTCACCACCCCAATTCATCCCGTGGGTGTCATAAGAGCCGACTAAAGGAGCAAACTACGCAGGTCAACAGCACTGCAAAGAGTAGGAATACTTGAAGCAAACCCGTGGTATAGTAGACCAAAACCTCCTTTATAAGGCGTGTGTCCAGCAGTGGACTAGTAAAGGCTGTTGATGATGATGTATGAGTAACTCGGCTCGGCACCAAATATTAAGCGTTTTGAAGTTTGAAGTCAAAGTTATTAAGTACAATGTAAAATAAGTAAAAAAAAAATTAATAATATAGAAGAATAAAGCAAAAGTCATAAGAATTTCAATATTGCACTAATTTGTACTATCCTAAACTATTTATTAATTATTTAACAACTAATTAAGTACTTGATGAATTAACGATAAATTAAAATAATATCATTAGGGAATGTGTTAGTTCAACCGAAATCCGCTAAAAGCTATGTATTTTTTTAAATTAGGATATGATTCTGATAAAAGTTGAGTAAGAAATGTCTGTCCCGGAAGCACCAAAACATATATAATGTTAAGTTAGACTAGCTAACTGTGATAAAGAATTTATTTAACTAAGTATTGTTCAAAGTTATCCTTGAATATTTCATATCATATATTTTGTACCCCAAAAATCTCAAACATTCACCCATTTTATCACCAAAAATAATCACTTAATTAAGCGAAAAGTTCTAAAACTGATTTCAGTTATCCTATTTTACACTTTTGCTATACACTACCTACAAATACAATATAACTGTTTATGGCGTGGAAAAGGTTACAGTTTTATTGATTACAAGGTTTTGGGTATCCTAAAAAAATATTCGTTTTAAGATTAATATGGGTAACACTTATACCTATTTTCAATTAAATTGTATTGATTTAATTTTAAGCCGCTCTCTGAGAATATGTTAACTATTACATTACTTACCCTCTAAGTTAATCGATGCTAAGTTTTGTAATAGACAAAACGTAGCATCGATTAACTTGGAGGGTACAAACCAAAATTGTATCAACGAGTGCTTTTAATTTTTTTTAGTATATTTTCCTACTTTCTTTATTTACATAATTGCATTTACTGATATAGCACTTTCTATAATTTATTTATGAACGCTCAAAAGTTTTCTTCTTAAATATGTTTTGTAGATTCATATTCGACTTGGACTGTTGGAACATCTGCGTGACTCTCCTACCGACTTCCTGGGCGGCTTGGAGATTGGTAGCTTGGCGCGGGGTCGGTTCTCGGATGACATCATAACTGAGTACCGTACCTGCGACGTTGTGAATGAGGGCTTCTATCGCCGCCTTATACTGACTTAAAGCCGGGTGCTGCACGCCTTCTTCGAGTTTCCTAATAAAATATTTTAAATTTATAATCCATTATCTAGTGTCGTGAAGGAAATATAACTATTTAGATTTCTAGAAGGGAACGCTGATTTAGCAGCGACGCACTTAGAATTTTATTTTTTTAAAGACAACTCCCGCACTTATAAGTCTTTAATCGCGGAGGTCTTTATAAACATTCACGAAACGTAGATCACAAAAGTGTAGTCCCACGTGGGACTACACATTGTGGAACCTACAACACTCAGTGCAGTAGGAAGCGGCGAGGCGACAACCTAAACTACGCCATCGGTTAGCTAAATATCACAGGAGCCGCTTTCAAAAGAGGAGCCGATTAGAGAAGACACGTTAGAAAGTAATGACAGACGCTATTTATGTGGTGACGGATTAAAAATACGGAATGTCACCACCCCTATTCATCCCGTGGGTGTCGTGAGAGCCGACTAAGGAAGCGAGCTACGCAGGACAACAGCACTTCAAAGAGAAGGAAAACTTGGAACAAACCCTATAACAACGCGTTTGGCCAGCGTGGTATAGTAGGCCAAAACCTCCTTTCTAAGGAGAGGCCTGCTATTTTATGTTAACGCACAAGCCACTGTCATCCCGTTGACACGCTATTGAGACGCCATTGATATCGGACAAAATATTGGTATTCTACTAACATAAATTCAGTGTCAATAGACTGTCGATGTAGCGGTAATGCCTCATCAGTGGTGATATTAACAACATTGCCATATCTGGAGAATTAAATATATAATTGCCTTAATGTACCGTTTACCGAACTATTCCAAGAAATCGACGATATTTGTATCAGTGGCAGTTCAGTGATAAGTCATCGGAGGAGCCATCGACAGTCAATCTTTACAATAGCGTTGTGGTGGTGTGACGTCAGAGGGAGCGGTACCTGAGCGCGGGCAGCAGCGCGGGGTGGCGGCGGCAGTGGTGCGCGGCCAGCTGCAGGCCGGGCGTGAGCGCCGCCAGCGCCTCGGGGGACAGCGACACGCGCTGGCACAGCGCGCACAGCAGGGAAACCGCTGCAATCATATTTAATACTATCGGTATTGCCGGTAGCCTCGGACAGCTCGTTGAGCCGTCTCGGTTCCGGTTGTCTGTCTATAGAACTTCAATATCGCTTTGTACTCGGGTTGAGGAGGTCTGATGGCACTCCCTCCGCGAAACAAATGGAAGTTCATCCGTGTTCAGTTAGTTGTCAGAAAGGTCGACCCCAAGCTAGTTTGGGATAAGACTCGGTAGATACTGGTGATTGGCTCAATTTTCCGCCTTAGAGTCGAGATCCTTTATGCGTTGAGGTAAGGCTGGCCGGGTGAGCCAGCTCAGCCCAGCTCCTTAGAGAAGCGCAGAAGCCTCCCGGGACTTTCACAGGTTTCTAAGGGCGATTCATATTCAATACCATTTATCGTTTTGCAGTGTCACTATCTTCAACTCATCTATGAAGCTAACAGTTTAGAAGTACCTTGGAATCGAATGGACTTAATCTACACCATGCTCCATCCAGTGATTGTGTGTGATTGATTGTATCCAGTGAGCGTACAGTGATTTATTACAAAGAACCGGGGCAACCCTAAAAGGTATGGCTTACAAAGCTGGGAAATCTTGCAGAGTTTACCTCGTCTTGATCAATTTCCTTCTTTGGCTTGCGAGCGCAGCACGGTCTGCTCATTTGCCGACTTGAGGAGCAAACACTTTTTTTTATTAAGACTTCAATTCAAGCTAACACAAACCTTTTTCAGAAACTGCATGATTGTCCACCGTTGGCAGCACCAGTAACGCAAGCGCCTCCGCAGTTCTAGCAGCTTCTTTAGCCGAGATCGGTGCAGAGCCATTCAAAAGGTCGTCAACGGGGGGCCAGCACTGAGCCTCGCAGTCCAAACCGCGGATAAGACAGGTGCGAGTTACACTACCCCATGATGTTATTGCCACTTCACGAACAGATCTAAAACAATAGTTTGATATTTAGAAATGGAATACAAAGAAGAAGTCAGTTAAATGAACTTCCTGACTTGTTCATCGCAGCAACCTACAAAGATTTCTGAAAGCCTTGTGTGAGTTTTATTATACATCATCTCGATTGTCACGTTGACCGCGTTCGACAATGCGATTGGCCCGCACTGACCTCTGTCTGACTGACCGCCGTCGACAGCGAGATAATGTGAAATATACTCACACTAGGCCTTCTGAAGAGGACGTGCAATGAAAGAGAGAGATAAGATTAGCAACGCATTCTTGAGACCGCTATTATTGCATGATTATAGGTCACGGTAAACGCTTACTACCATAAGGTCTGAGCTCTTGTTTAGAAGAAAAAAAACCTAATCAAAACTTAAAGATAAAGGATGTGCTTGGAGTTAGACATACGGTTAAAATAAATAATTCGCAACAAATCAATCGACAAATGATATACAGTAGATTAAGGCAGAATGAGTGGTTGAGTAACAACCCGCAAATCAAAATTTAACGTTATCTGAATACAATTTGCTAAAAAAAAAAGAAGATCTCGACCCAATTAGTGACTATATATAAATAATAATAATGATCATACTCATTAGATAATTATTGGTCCTGGGTGGGAATGGAACCCACGACCTGTGACTTAGCAGTCAGGGTCACAAACCACTAAACCAAGAGGCCTGTCATGATGATTTGCTTGCACAAACTTGGTAATTACTATTAAAATAAAACGGCTTGTATCTCTTATAACATACAAGCCCTTTTGCTGTAGCAAAACCGCGAGATCAAAATGGACCAGTCACCACATTTATGCACAGGAGCATACATACGCATCTTCATCATGCAGCAGCGCCATGACGGCAGGCAACATTTGTCTCTCGATACACTTCTCGTTTAATTCCGCTACATTGAGTAGTTCGGTGATGAGGTTCGCGATGTACACCCGTATCGTACTGCCGCTTGAACTTTCACAACTACTTGCTGCAACTGCAATTAAAGATAAATCATTCTGTCTGTGCCCTTAGCATCATTTTACGCGTACATTCATCATTAACCTACGATCCTAAGTTACTGGAGCATAAACGACGTAAATAACTTGTCCGACCAACTATAGCTGCCAAAACAGCTTTGGGGAGCCAAAGTTACCCTAGTCTCAGTGGACATCTATACAATACTATCAACAAATTTGCAATATATTTAGTTAGGTTAGGTTTAGGTTAGTTTGAAACTAGATAGCGTTGTGTGTCAGATGTCCGAAAATATTTAAAAATAATCTACTACGATACGGCTAAACTTCGATTTTTCACGCGGAGCGCCTGAAATCAGACCCCCATAAGATAAACTACAGCCAAACATAACAAATGATCATGATCGTGATCACTAATGCCTAGAATAACAGACATACTATTAGTGCTCCACGATAACGCTAATCGATTGCGTGTTTCTTTCATATTTTGGTTAAATCGTACTGATATGAAGGGACTGGAAAAGTACTTACATTCTCTAAGATGTTGCAGGTAAAAATCGACATTTTCGTGTTTATGCTCCGCCACCCACTTCAAAGGCACTGAGAAAATTTTCACTGGTAATCCTCGAAGGCTGCTGTACATTATCCATCTAAAATATATAAACCTCAATAATATATTTAATGAATGACTGAAATTTTGGTATGGCAGTAGCTGACACCCTGTGTTAATACGATACATAGGCATTTTATCCCGAAAAAGAATGTGTTCCCGAGGAATGGGGAAGGAATTAAAATATATAAACCGCGGGGCGCCGCTCGAGGTAAATAAATGTAAAACTAATAGTAACAAATTATACCAACTTACTTTTGTAAAAATTCTGCCTGTTGTGCGCTGTCATCAAGAACTGGTAAAATAGTGACCAAATAAACACCGACCACTACAGTGCTATCTACATTCACTGTGTGCAGCTTCTCCATTTTGTGTTCCAATTCCGCAATTGTATCCGTAAATATTGGCTTCAGTATATACGACGTGAAATGTACACCGAAATTATTGACATAACTGTCGAATAGAGAAATTAGAAGTTCGTATATCGCTGGGTGGTTCAACACTTTGTTATTTGTGACGACTTCTAATGTTTGTTTCAATCTGAAAGAAAATCATGTGTTTTCATTACCGCTTTTAGAAGAAAAAGTTTTCGTCGTCTTCGATTTCATTCATCATCATCATCGACAGCCTACTGCTGGACATAGGCCCCTCCGTAGAAAGGTTTTGGCCTACTATACAACGCTGGCCAGACAGGTTGGTATAGAGTTTGTTTCAAGTTTTCCTTCTCTTTGCAACGTTGTGGTCCTGCGTAGTTTGCTCCCTTAGTCGGCTCTTACGACACCCAGGAAATGAATAGGCGTGGTGACACTCCGTATTCTTAATCCGTCATCACACGGACTTTACTATTTACCCATAAATTAACTTACGTGCTTATAAACCAGGCTAACTCCGACCATCTGACTTCAGGTTTCTCTTTAATTAAATTATTCATAGCTACCAACAAACTCTTCGCCTCGTAATTATCCGTGACATAGCACTGTAGATCTATGAAATACTCTTGTTCTTCTAACGGCACTTCTTGTAAATTAACCGGTTGCATATCACAGTTGCTGAGGGTAGTATCCCTAACCATTTGTACATTAATCACATAGGCCAGTTTTGCTAACACTAATACTCGAAACACTTCTAAATATAACAGCACTGTTTTCCATTCATTATCACCGGTGGCTTTGTTCAAATTATTCATAATTTTACTGCATAAATCAGTTGAGAATTTGCCTGAAAATAAAATATTATTCCTTATTTTTTAGAGCCCAGATAAAAGATTTACGAGGTGACCGAAATTCAGTTAATTTTTTGATATCCATTTTCTCCGAGTCGATTAGTTAGTTTAGGATTCAAATTGTTGAATTCTAGGTTTGTGTGATTATAAGAAAATAAAAATGGAATAATTAGAACAAGGGAACATACTTTTACTTTTTAAAACATGAATCCAAACAATGAAAACTAGTTATACCTTACGTATGGTTGAAAATACAAATACATACACATAAGTAAATAAAAAGTTTACCGGCAATCAAGGCATTTCTCGCTAGCACCGGCACGAATATATTAACAGTATCCTTAACACACTTCTCAACTGGATCTCTGAGGAAGTTGAACATGAGACTTTCCAGCTGTCCATACTTATGTTCGGCGACCGGACATATTAAACAAGCCGACTTTAACCCCAGAGATCTTATTTCCAGTTCGTTCGATTCACACATGAGAACTACAAGGCTGAGAAGTAACGACGTGCATAATTCTATAGGTACGTAGGGAGCGATGGCCACGCACACTTGGCTGGCTAACACTCGTCGTTCGGTCGAGCGCGACGCTAATAATTCTGCTATCGACGATAACACTTCACCGCTGCCACCCCATTTCACTATTAAGCAAGTCGCTGAAAGAAAAGACATTTTTAAGGAAGATCGTAACTCGATCGATCGCAAAAAGTTCATAAGCACGTTGAATTATTGAAATTTTGACTGAAACACGTTAAATTTAACGTATTCAAAAGTTAGCGGCAAAAAAGTTAGCCCAAAAATTACGGCACCGGGTCGGTGAAAACGCTAGTACCTTCACAGATAGCCCTCGTGTCGGCCCGGTCAGGCTTCTTGACGAGCGTGAGCAGCGCGTGCAGAGCCCTCGCGCGGCGCGAGTCGCCCGGCGCCAGGAGCGCGGCCGCCGCCGCCAGCAGCGCCGCCGCCTCGCAGCGCCGCGCCACCAGCGTGTGCGGCAGGATCTGCCACACGTCACACCCGCGTCATACCCCAAACGTACGGTACCGGCGTTCGCCGACATAGGCATTCGATTTTAGGATCACGAGCTATATATATCTTACTTTATCGATGATCCGTTGTACTGTTCGGTAAAGTCATCACGAACGATCACGTTCATATTTGTAATTAGGATCAAACTAAGCTTTCGCATCTACTTACCGAGAGGGTTCGGTAACTCTTTTCAGGTGTCAGTTAGGTAAGGAAGTTCATACGGTCTTTTAACTTTTTTACCTAACCCCAAATTTAAAAAAATCTCTGAAAATGTTCTCACTTTGAGAATTTTATTTGAACGTTGATTTGATAAATCTTGGAACCATACTTATTTGGATCCATTTTCTTATCTTTTCCCTCATAACCGTAGTATTAAATGAACTATTGCATACAACGGCAAAGCGGTTATTGTCTAATTTCAGTAAACGAAATGAAATTTAAATAATTAACAAGTAAAAACCCGACTCACCCTAGGCAAAGTATCCGCAACCAGTGTTAACAATCCAGTTAAAGTGATGGGTTTATCGCTACTTATCAGTTCAGCGAGAAGATCGTTCGATAGTGGTTCGTTCAAGTTCAGTGTTTCATAACACCAGTTCAGAACCGATACTTTGAGATTATTCGGTATGGCACTGGAAAACATAAAATAATATAATTTAGGCTTTAAATAATTTATAAAATATTGAAGTCAAAACCGGTCTTAATAGAAACTCAAAAGTACCAAAATAATATGCCTTACCTTCCTGCCTGTTAGGCCACCTAAGATGCACACACATGCATAAAAAATTAGGCAATATATAAAATCGAGAAAAGTAATCAAATCTAGAGCCATTTCTGAGCTCCGGAATCTGGAATTATGTTCTCACAAGGCAATAGTAATATTATTTCTCATACTAGCTGTACCTAGCAACAAAACTGACTGACTGACTGAATAGATAAAAACCACAATCTTTGACACGGTTTGTACATCGAGTCGAAATTTGAGCTCAAAGGATTTAAATACTAACTTACCTATCAATCCACATTTCTTTACTATTAGTATCTATTGTATTATATTCATAGTGCACGCGAGTCCACTCGCCGCCGTCGTTAATACTAAGAGTCTCGTCTAATGTTGTCACACTGCCCCGACGTAAGGGGGAATCTCGCACGCTCTGTTCTAATGCACCGGTGTCGAACGAACTTATATTTGAACCTTTTCTCGTTCTGGAAATGAAAGTATAATAAAAAAAGTTGAAATAAAATGTACAATAGTTAACCATATAACAGTGTTATCTTTAATGTCTCGGCTTGTCTAGTGGATAGTTATGGATATATCCTCCTTACAAAAAAGAAGGTAATATGCTTGGGAGAAGACAAACAATACTGTTTTGGAACACATTTTGAAGTGCTATGCGCTTACGATCATACTAACGTTACTTTTTGTGATCTGAGATCATTTAAAAAGATGATTCAAATATTATTTCTCGTAAACGGATTAAGGCACTTACATTGCACTATTTTTTTCACTGTCGATCATCTCAAATTGTTCTGGAGTTGCACTGTGTGTTGAATTGCCACTTCCATAATGATTTTCTGTAGCTGTACAAGTTATAGGATTTGTGTCTATACTGTGTTCCACTCTTGTTTGTACCGATAACAACTTCTCCTCTGGTATATGAAGATCAAGACCTTTGCTTTCAGAAGTTGGACTTGTGAGAGAATTTAAACTGACAATAGCAGCATCATAAAGTTTCTGGAAGTTCAATTTTTCAGTCTCTAAAGCTATTACTTTTTGTTTCAATAATTCGATTTCTTCAGCTTGGATTAGCAACTGTAAAATCAACATTGGTTAATCTAAATATTGGATAAAAAATATTACTTTACAGATTACACTTAAATTAGAATAATTTGTGATGAGTAATAGATATGAAAACCAAAATAAATACTAACCTCATGACTCCAATCAGTCTCGTGTTCTAACGACGTCTGGCAACTGACACAAACATTGCCCTCTTCAACATCTGTCTGACATTCCATATCTGCATATGACCAATCCATTTCAGTAGACGCATCAATCTTGAGAACGCCCAATGAAGATGTATTTCCTCTAAATAAAGACACAAGTCCTGACGGTCTTGGCATGTTTAAGCCCACATCATCCCAATCTTCAAACTCCTTAAATGTAATGTACATAATTTGTTAAGATTGGACTAAAATGTAGCAGTTTGCAATGCTGCTAACTATGCTACTGTGACCGTGTTTGTTGCACAATATATCTAACGTCATATTAATATTAAACCGACTCTAGAAAAGAAGGAAGTTCTCAATTTAGTTGTATATTTTTAATGATTGTTTTCTCAGATCCTCGTCATTTGTGTCGGCGACCGATTAAAAATATGAAGTATGACCACCCCTATCCATCCCGTGGGTATCGTAAGAGCCGATTAGGGGAGAAAACTATGCAGGACAGCTGCACTTCAAAGAGAAGGAAAACTTGACACAAGCCCTATACCAACCAGTCTGGCCAGCGTGATTTGGTGGGCCATAACCTCCTATCTAAGGAGAGGCCTATGTCCAGCTGTAGACTAAAGGCTGTCGCTGATGATGATGAATTAATATGCGTATTAGATATTATCTTAATAATATAATGTTCAACCAAAATTATGCACATTTTAATTACACCACATTACAAACACATTATTTTAACATACATTAACACATTACAATTTGTATTTTAATTAAAGCAAAGCATGTATTTCGTTTAATCGCATAATTTGTGGCTCTGCATATTAATTTATCCCATTAACATTATAATCACGAAACTTTGTGAGGATGGATGTAGGGATATTAATTGCTTCTTAATCACGCCAGAACGGATCTAGCTGAAATTTGCACAGATACAGATTGTAGTTTGGCATAGCACATAAGAATAAAAGGTAGTATTTTAATAATATAATGTTCAGCTCTAAATCACATAATTAAACCACTATTCCAACAAACGAGACTAATCTTACATTTATATACATAAATTTTTTCAATTCATCCTTTTTAAATAGACGCTTTGATTTAAATGCATATTAATGCATTTAAACCAAAGCATCTATTATTGCGAAAAGGTTAAAAGCTCTTTATTAATATTATTAATTATATAGTAGCAGATTATTAATATTTTCCATTAAATTCAATATCAAGAAATGGTTTTAATAGAAATAATAGGCTAGGTAGGGTAAACAGTGAGCTGACAAATGATGGAGTAGAATGGCAGAATCATACTTACTGCGCCAACCCCAAATAAAATTAGGATAAGCGTCGGCAGATGATGATGGTTTTAATAGACGGTTATTGTACCAGAAAATATTAAAAGACATTAAATCTGAATATTACACAAGTTTGGTAGTTTTAGCAGGTGATTTTGTTATTTAATTGTTAAAAACAGTGCTTAACAGTTACACATAAGTAAGCAAGTATAACCAACATACCTGGTTTGGATTTTCATCAGAGAATGTTATGGAAGTTAGTTTGTAGTCTTGAAGTAATAAGTATTCATTTATAAGGAAGTTGAGAGCTCTTTTTTCATGTGGCTTTAAAGAACGCTGATCAGATACATCTTTTGTGGTTTTATCTAAAGTAGACTCACCATCTGAAATAATACATTAACATATTAGATCAAAACATATATCCATATTATAAGATCAGGCAGTCATGATATGACACAAGCTTGTGCCCAATAAAGAACTAAAATTAATAGTTCTAAAAGGACTGAGAAAAAATATGGAATATAGGTTAACAATGATATACATCAAAATATACTTGTCAAATATCATTAACTTAACTGAAGATTAATTAAGTAAATGTCATATCATGTTATATAAAAATTAGAAAAACATATAACAGACAAATAAACTAAGATACTAATAATTACCTGCAAATTGAGTCAAGTTTGCTCTCAGCGCATGAATTGTTTCTCTGGCTTTTCGCAGCTCAAACTCCAGTACAGCTACATCACCACCACTACCACCACGGTCCCCCCCACCATCTTCCGAGTACCGTGCTGTATCCAGGGAGTCAAGAGTAGCTTGACTCGGAGTGCGATCTACAGATTTCATGTTAAAAACTTAAATACTCTTGTTTCTAAGCAGTTTACATTTTTTTTTGGAGCAATTTGTAAATTTAAATCCAGTCATTAATTATAATTTTAAAATAATGACACAATTTCTTATGTAAATTAACTATTACAAATAACGTTAATATTCCTATTGTTTAAAAATATTTTATTTACTTTAGTCTTATAGTTTACATTTGTATTGTTTTTTTTTAATATTATACTGTTTACTCTTAATACAATTTTAAGAAGGCCAGTACAATTAAAGTAAACATTAACGATTTTTAAAGAATGTGTGAAATCATAAACTTAATATATTATTATAACAAACTTACGCATTGAAGAAAATTCTGATGCCCTAGAAACATGTTGTTCAAAATTTCCGGGATTCGAAAAGAATTCTCGTAATTGAGGTAGTTCTTTACCACTTTCTACAAGTTCTGTATGCAGTTCCAACGCTGTTAAGAAATAATGATCTTTCAGCAGTTTCGTAGCTATGTCCTCGTAAGCTAGATGAGGTGATAAAGTAAAAGAATTTTCCTCTACATCTTTATACGGATTCATTTTGAGAGGAACAATTATTTACATATCAAATGCAAATCCTTTAATGAATAATTTGTTATATTTACACAATTCATCGAAGTATAACGAATGAATTAATAGATACCTCAATTACAAATACAAAATAACAATACAACGCAAGAAACTTTACTGAACTGCAACAGCAGGTGTCACTACCTGCGTCTGACAGGACTCTGACATTGACAATAGGGAAATATTGACAGCCTTGACAGTTGTCATAATTGACGGAGACAATAAACAAAAAAAGAAGTAAAATTTTGAGCAGAAACATTTTGTACTGACTTCTATTTTCCCTTTATTCTGTCTTCTGTACTTCATAGTCCAGTCATTTAAGCTTAAATTAGGTAAGAATCTCGGAATTCGAGATACCCAGCTGTAAGCCTGTAAATACTTGTATATTGACACCCTAAAAGTTGTCTCAAAACCTACATATGGTAGGGTGTATTATAAAGTCTATTTCACGAAAGAAGTCCCGCGGACAATTGTGGAACTAAATTTGGCAGATGGGGAGATCGGCCATGTTGTCGTTTGTCGATGTTATCAAGGAGCGTTTGTTGTGGTAGATATTTTGTGAGTTTATTAATGGATTAGTGCGTTATAAGGTTTATTTACGATGCCAAATGTTGTAAAAAGTGCAGGTCGCAAAATGATATTAAAGGTGAAGGAGTTCTGTGAAGCGGAACACAAGAATCACGGTGTTTTAATACCAATAAACAATGTTCGCAAGAGAGTCGCCGCCATGACAGGTAAATTTTGGGGCTGCCATATACAGATTTTTTCCCCGATTGATTTTTTACAGATTGGAATTAAGTTTTTTTAATGCATGATTTTTATTAAGGAAAATTTTAAAAGGAATTAACACAACACAACAAACAATTGTAAAGTTATTTTCAACAGTAATGTAATTAAATACGAAAATAATAATTCAAACTTGTTCATTTTATTGCAGGTGTGTCAGAGAAAACTGTAACGAGAATTACAAAAGAAGGCGCAACAGCGGCGAGTACTTCTAAAGTTATCGTCACCCCAGGGAAGAGTCGCCCGCATACCAAAAAGTTCGACTTGGATGGATTTGATTTGTGCGCTATACGGCAAAAAATTCACAGTTTTTATGTTGTGAGGAAGGAATTACCAACATTGGCTAAATTACGTGCAGCTTTGAGAGAAGACATACATTTTCAAGGAAGCATCACAACATTGCACCGTATATTGCAAAGTATCGGTTTCAAGTACAAGCGATGCCAATCGAAACGCAAATTACTTATGGAACGTTATGATATTATCGCATGGCGTTCAAGATATTTGGAGAGAATCCAAAGAAATCGCAATGTGGAGAAAAAACCTGTAGTGTATTTAGACGAGACCTATATACATAACACTTATCATGCCAAAAGTTGCTGGCAAAGTGAGGAAGAACCTGGGATGTTCGTGTCAGAGTCATCAGGGAATCGTTGGATAATTGCTCATGCGGGAACTGAAAATGGTTTTGTTAATGGTGCATTGTTAATGTTCAAATCTCAATCCAAATCCTCAGATTACCAAAATGACATGAACTCAACTAATTTTTTGAAATGGATGAGTGAAAAAGTCATTCCTAACCTACCTGAAAGGTCACTTGTGGTAATGGACAACGCTCCATATCACTGCACTCAAATAAATAAAGCACCTACAATGTCAAGTATTAAACGTGACATGCAGGAATGGCTGCGAGAAAAGGCAGTATATTTTGAAGATACTTGGACAAAAGCTATATTATTTGAATTAATTAAACAAAACAAAGGTCCACCTACATATGCCGTGGATGCATTATTAAAATCTCACAATCATGAATTGCTAAAATTGCCGCCTTATCACTGCGATCTCAATCCGATCGAAAAAATGTGGAGCCTTGTAAAAAGACGGGTAGCGGATAAAAACGTGGGCCAAGATCCAAAGGAAATTGTACGCCTAACAGAAGAGGCTTTTGAGAATGTTACAGCGGAAGATTGGGCAGCTCAATGTAAACATGTACAGCATTTGGAGGAAGAATATTTAAAAAATGATGGTCTTATGGATCAAGAATTGGATCGATTTATTATATCCACGGCTAGTGATAGTGAAACAGAATCTGATTCTGTTTCTATTCACTCTTCTGACAGTGATCATAGTATGACCGATCATAATTATTCAATAAAACTTTGAATAAAACTTTTAAATGTAATTTTATTTTTCTAATTTAAAGTTGGTCGAACATCTCCTTTTTATATTTTAGAAATTACAGGAAGATTTATTTTTCACTAATCTCACCTTAGCAGGATGGACATCAAACAGGTACCTATATTAAAAATACATTATATTAAAAATATTTTTTTTCTTATGTAAATATTCGAGTCGTAATAGTTAATAAAATAAAAGTGAACGATAAATTATTTCCCCTGATTTCCCCATATTTAACCCTGGCAACATTATGTCGCGCGAATGCAGCGCTGCGTCTGCGGGACTTCTTTCGTGAAATGGACTTTACTCGCAAATTGCTAATGCGCAGGAACTTTGTCACATTAAGAGCCACGTGACGTCATCCAAAATAGAAAAGTACAGCTTGCTAAAAAAGAAATGCAATTGTAAATTTAATAGGTTAATTATTAAGTTTGACAGATTTGAAATGACATTTATTGTAAGATTACATTTTACGAAAAAACTGATATTTGATGACATTTAATTAATCTCACACCTTGGAAATAGGTATCTATCTAAGAAATGAAAAATGTTTGTGTGATTTTCAATGTTTATTAGAAAAGACTTATTAGTAATATAACTATATTAATAATATAATTAGGTTAGATTTTGATTCAATTTAATAAAAATCAATTCAATTTAATATAAATTTAATAATTTAATAAACAAAAATGCGTAGGTACTCGTCCCTCGCAATTCGCATCAGCCAGAATAATGCTAACGGTACAGAGTGTCTAATGTCAATGTCAACAAAATACGTCACCAAAATGGCGGCCAGGCGCATTAGCAATTTGCGGGGATAGTAAGCAACTATTAAATTTGAAGGTCAAAAGTCACAAAAATCGGTTTATTGCGCTTTTTTTGGAAATATCTCATTTCCTATGGGTTTCTGCTATTTGTATTCATTTTCAATATTGTAGAATACAAAATTCTCTACAAATTTTGTTTAAAAATTTTTTTTACGGTGAACCGTTTTCGAGATAGAGGGCGGAGAGCGCGAGGTCACAGCATCACTTCAGGTCAACCGGTGCCTCCGGTCGAAAACGCGCCATATATAGTTGATGAACTATCGATAAATCAATGATTATAAATATTTGTCAATTTTTATTAACTATTATATTATATTTTATCATTTTTTTCCTAACATATCCACTTTTTATTCAGTATTAATTTATTTAACAAGACTTATCTGCCCATGTAATTGCAGAATTGATAATGAAAATATAGGAATTATATTTGAATTTTAACCTAATTAATATTAATAACTTCTTACATATAAACAAAAAAAAAACAAAAAAAAAACGAAAAAAAAACAAAAAAAAACAAATAAATTATGAATTAATCTTTTTATTAAAAAATATCATTGAATACATTTATTTTTATTGAAAGAAAAAAAATGGAATAAAGGTTACAAAAACTACAATTTATAATTTTAATCATCTTCTTCCTCTTCATCGTCGTCTTCTGGCTGCTGGTAAATTTCAAACTGGTCTTCATTATCGTCTTCAACGACATTTGTCTCAAGTTCTTCCATGATTTCGGGGTCAAAGGTTCCATCTTCGTTAATGTAGCTCTGATATGGTAGAGCATTGAGACAAGCTTGCCCATTACATTGGCCACAAGCTAAAGAGCATTGCAAGCCCGCTTTCCTGCATCCGCATCGCGAACCAAAACCACTCTTGCAGTTGCAGAAAATTGTATTTAGCAAATCTTCTGGAGCAGGTGGTAAAATTGTCATGATAGGCTCCAGAAAATCATTTCGCATTGTCCAACCCCATACCTGGGGTTCCAAATCATGTCATAACCAAGTTTGAACTTGATAATATACACGGTTGAAATGTTGATGAGCAGCTGCACTTGTTGGTGGAATATTTGAAAGCTGCACAGGTTTATTAAGTTTTGTAGACTTGACGTAATGCATATATGCAGATGATCGAGACTTTTCACAGATTTCGGAGCATTATAGACTGCCAATAAGGTTTGAGTTCCACTCTCTATTCTTATCTCTATTTTTATTTATAATCATTGATTTATCGATAGTTCATCAACTATATATGGCGCGTTTTCGACCGGAGGCACCGGTTGACCTGAAGTGACGCTGTGACCGCGCGCTCTCCGCCCTTACCTCGAAAACGGTTCAAGGTATAAAAAAATTTTTTAAACAAAAGTTGTAGAGAATTTTGTATTCTACAATATTGAAAATGAATATAAATAGCAGAAACCCATAGGAAATGAGATATTTCCAAAAAAAGCGCAATAAACCGATTTTTGTGACTTTTGACCTTGAAATTTAATAGTTGCTTACATCCTACCATATGTAGGTTTTGAGGCAACTTTTAGGGTGTCAATATACAAGTATTTACAGACTTACAGCTGGGTATCTCGAATTCCGAGGTGAACTTACTATAATGACTGGACTATTCAAATCGCCTTGAGCTTGAGCAAGTAGGAAATGAGTATACTGAAAGAAAAGTCGAAGACTAAGACTATTGATGATTTTATAAAGCTTAGAATCTTCTTAGAATCTTAGAATCTTCGAATTTTATAATTAACCTAATTCATCCCCTAAACATCTGAGAAGTTTAAAAAACCTTAATTTCATATTCTCTACTTTAATTTAATACCTTTAAACCAGTAATTCTTGTATGATATCTGTAATTTAAATCTTGGAAACGGCTTAAACGATTTTCATAAAATTTAGTATGCAGGGAGTTTCGGGTGCGAAAAATCGATCTAGCTATATTTCATTTTTAGAAAAATTACCAAAGCAAAGCTTGCTCATCCAGGTACTATAACATTTATGAGTGTTATTATTATGTCTGTTGGCCGTATTTTATACTTTTACTTCATTCACAAATACTCGCTGATTCTGCCAATTCATTATCACATCACAGCACATCAATAGCCTTTAATAGTCCACTGCTGGACATAAGTCTCTCCTTAGAAAGGAGGTTTTGGCCTCCTATACCACGCTAGCCAGATGGGTTGGTATAGGGTTTGTGTCAAGTTTTCCTTCTCACTGCAGTGCTGTTGTTCACGTAGTTTTCTCTACGGGTGGTGATACTCTTTATTCTTATTCTGTCACCACACACACACCACACCAATTCATGTATTAGTAATTGCTCTTTTACATTCAACTTACAAGAGTTACGATTTATCTACATATTTATTTAACAGTAGAGAATCCATAAAACATAATGTTTGTATGGATTCTCTACAGCTGTTTATTTGAAAGCGCCAATCTCAGGTACTGGTACCAATATAACGATCTACTTTCAACATTTTTTATTTAATCTGATGTACAACCCGAGGATCAATTCTCATAATGATGTTCGTTCAAATTTCAATTACCATATACTCTTGATCTCATAAATGTCATAAAAGGTAATCTCATAGTAAAGTATTACTAAGACTAGCAGAAAAAATATTCGACTTTCCGTCACATATAGATGTAAGGCCAGTTTAAAGCCAATTAAACCAATCCGTTTAAAACCGAAAAAAAAAAACATTTTTTTCGATTTAAAACGGTTGGTGTTGATAACTACGTTTTTCCTAATTATAAATACATTTTCTTGATTTTACCAAGTTAGGGATATGACTGAGTACCTGGAAACTGTGTAAATTTTTTTTTATATGTGTGATGTACTGTACTTAGCGGGTTTACTTCTAGTTGGTCCATCCGATCAAGCGTAGGTATTACTAACCTAAGTTATAAAAACTCTGTGTTGGTAAATAAACATTTTTTCATTGTTTTCAAACGATATAATTAATCAATTTGATTCGGTTTAAAACCTTGAACACATAACGTTGTCTCTTTAATGCGCAAGTAAAACAGACTGCATTGTGTTAATGATGTCTTCTAATCTAGTGTGTGTGTAATTTAATATTTTAAATAAGTGTAGGTGTGTGTGATATACCTACATACTTAGGTTTTCGTGTAGTAGGTAATGTAGGTAGGTCCTTTCCATTGATTTTCTATAAACTAATTAAAACGAAATATGACGTCAGGTAACAAAAATTGCCCACAATGAAGTGCAAAACACAGTTCTTATTTTTGTAGGCGAGTTTATAACCATTTAAATCTATTTATTTGGGGTTTAAAACGGCAATTTTTTTTTTAAACGTTTTAAATCGGTTGTTTTACATCTATAGTCACAATACCTGCGATATAATGACATTACGGTCAACGGTGGATGTTAACTACAAGAATACCTTTTATGACAATTTGTGAGATCGAGAGTAAATGGAAATTAAAAGACCTTCAGTACAACACAAATAAAGGAGAATCCAACTTGAGTTGACATCCTTTATTAAAAGCTGTGATTAAAAGTCAAATTTAAACTGACAGACAAGAGTGACAATTCAACGACAATCGAGAATTGGACTTGTTTTCTTTGGATTCGCAAAAATTGGAATTTGTATCGGAAATATAACTCTTTTCACACGAATATATGATAATACTATGCGCTTTATATAGTTATGCCTATTCCTTTGGAGGAAATGGGTGTTGAAGTATATGCATGCATGTATTTAGATATAATTGGCGTCGGTTTATTTAGAACTTCTTTCGAATCTTAGACTTGCAATAATTATTACAAAATGGGAGACCCGTACTTTACTTTAAAGCGCAAACTTGAAGATCTTGGCTATAATAATTCCTTACCGACAGAGGCAGTACCTCTTGTAGAATGTGTCCTAGCAGATCTTTTACAAACCACACGCAGTCTGCAGCATTACATGGATTTATCGAAAGAAGCTATGATGCAGCGTGATTCTCTGATGATGGAAGCAGAGCCCTATAAGTGCGACAACTCCAAATTAATACAAGAGAATAATCGCCTTCACAGAGATTACATGAAACTACGCGAGGAAAATCTTAGAACTGTCAAAGAGTCTAGGCGAAAAATAAAGACTTTGTCTGAGGAGCTTATAAAAAAAGACACAATGATTAGCAAATTACAACATGAGATAAGAGACTTAAGCCTTAGAGGATTGTGTGCTGATACTTTGAGTTCACGAAATAAAACTAAAAAGAAAGATTGGGAAAATAGTAACAATATACCTAAAATGTGTGTTTGTAATGAAAGAAAAAAGTCTTTCAATGAAAAAGATCTAACAGAATTGACAAATAAGATCCACATACTAGAGGAAAAGAATGAAGCCTATTGTGATGAAATAGTGTTATTAAAAAGTCAAATTGAACACAGAGAAGATGAAATTATTCGCCTAAACATGTTGTTAGAAGGTGGCAGACCTATAACAGCCATTAACAAAGACTGCTGCAATGTAAGCTCAAGTGAAAGAATTCAGAAACTGCTGAAAGAAATGCATGACTTAGAAACAAATAATGAAGGTTTGAAGAGAGAAATAGAAAGTGCTTTAGAAAAACAGCATGAAGCCATGCTGAGAGCTCTAGATCTTGCAGATAAAAATAAAAAATTACAAGAAGAGATTAAGAAAGTTGATTCTTTAGCTTTGAAAGTTGAAGAAGACTGTAACAAAAGACTATCTGCTATGAGTGGCGAGATAAAATTTTTGCAGACCAGAATTGAAGGGTTGAACATGAAAAAGTCAGAGTTAGAAAATCAGCTTTCAAGTCATGCAGAAAAATTGACCTCACCACAAGTGAATGAACTTCAAGAAGCCCTTACTTCTTCAGTTAAAGAAAATGATGCATTACATAAGGAAATAAAAGATCTAGTAGAACTAAATAAAAGCTTGCAGGAAAAGATTTTGACTTTATCACAAATGAGCAGAAGAATTAGATGTGATGATGAAACTGGTATTGATAAATTAAGGTATCCTACTAAATCTGAATTGCATATGTTATTAGCAGATGAGAGAAAAAAGAATGAAATACATATGCGAAGTGTTCAAGAAAAAATAACTGAAATAATGAATAGTTTTAATAGTCATATGTCTAAATGTAAGGACAGAGTAAGCCCCACACTAAAAACTTCACATGAAAATGCATTTGTTAGAGATTTGCATACTAGATTATGTGAAAGTGAACAAAAGATCTTGATGTTAAAGAAAGAAAATGATGACTTGAAAATGAAATCAACTTATTTTCAAGAGAATAATAAACAAAATTATAAAGATGTCATCAGTCAGCTTAATTTAGAAAATTCAGAATTGTCACAAGAAAACATAGCTCTAAGCCAGCAGTTGAGCCAGTATAAGAATTTAAATTCTGTAAGACATTTTGACAAAAGTGAATCCAGCAGAAATGATGTCCAAAAACTTAAAGATAAAATAAAGGAACTATCTAATGAAATTCAGTTACTAAAGAAAGACAAACATGAGTATAATCAAAGATACAAAGAAACTTTGGAATTAGCTGAAAAATTAAAAAGGGATTTAATCTTTAAACAAAAAGAAATTGAACATTTGGAAGAAGAAAATTGTTCATACAAAATGACAAGTAGAAATGGAAAAGCTTCTAAAGAACAGCTAAAAGAGGAATGTGATTTTCTGAGAGATCAATTAAAGAAAATGCAGACAGATGTAATCAGAGAAAAAACTAATGCAAGTCAAATGAAAAATATACAAATGGAAACAGAAAGAAGCAGTAATGAGTTACAAAATGAATTATTGAGTGTTCAAAAGAAATTTAGTCTGTCTAAAGACACAATTGAATCTTTAGATAGAAAATGTAAAGAATTGCAATCGGAAATAATAGCTTTACGAAATGAGAAATCCAACCTAATGGAGAGTATAAAAAAAATTGATCAAGAAAGAGATAAATTAGTAATAGAGTTGGACAATAAGACAGAATCTGTAAGCTTGCTTGAGCAAAAATTAAAATCTCAATCTTATGATCTCAGTAAAATAGAACACGAAAATTCAGATCTGAAAAGAAAATTAAACATGAATAAAGTCACTGAACACAAATTAGCAGATCATGAAACTCAAATAAGTTTTCTGAATGGTGAAATTTTAAGACTCACTCAGCAACTAGATAGTGCTATTATAGAAAATAAACACTTACAAAACAGTTTAGCTGATGCTAATGGCACATTGAAGGTAACAAGAATTGAATATGATAAGTCAAAGAGAGAAGTAGAAAGTTTAAAACAACAATTGCAACATTATGTTGCAGAAATTAGAAGAATTGAAGAGTTGTTATCACAAAAAGAAGCTGAGAGGTCTGATATGTTAGAACATTTTGCTAGTCTGTCTGTGGAAGCTAACATTTTAGAAAATACTAATCATTCACTAGAGAGTGAGTCAGCTTCCAAATCAGTACAGCTACAAACATACATTACTAAGATTCAAAATTTAGAAGAGAAATTAATAGACAAAGAAAATTACCTTGAAACCCAAGCTTCCCGTATTGCTGCAATGCAATGTAAAATAAGTTCATTGGAAAGTGAAGTCAAACTTATGTCAGAAGAGAAAGTGGTCCTTGAACAAAATATTTCGTATTTGAAACAGATGTGCAATAATTTACAGTCAGATCACTGTAAAACTGTTAAAAATATGAATACTGTAGATTCAGAATTAAAACTTTATGAGAATAGAATTAAAAATCTTTCAAATACTAAGGCTAAATTAGAAGCAGATAAAGATCAAATAAAAGACAAATTGGCAACTACTGAAAGATTACTATCAAATGCTAGAAAAGAAATTGTAGAACTAAAATTAGCTTTACAAGATGCTACATCTGAAACGAAGTCTTTGCAAGATAGTGTTAACAGACTAAGTAGAGTTGACATACATGAGGTAAGTTAACTACAATCTACAATCACATAGTCCCTAGTAAACCTCATAACACAAATATTAATTTTCCCTATTGATTTCAGGAAACATTGACTAATCAGGAGTTTATTCTACCTCTGACTCTAGATGAGATTCATGAGGCTAGTCATGAGGAAGATGATAACAGTTCTCTTTACCATAGCAAAAGCTATTCTAAGTATGGTCACAGTGGAACTATATGAGAATTGTTTAAAAAAGGATTCACAGGGTTAAAGTTCTACATCAGCCATCAGAAATCTCTATGAAATAGTATTCAAAGATAAATAATGTATTGGTTTTTTTTCTTATTAAGTACTACCAAAGTTGCAGATGCCAATGACATATAGCAGACAAAAGTAAAATGCCTCAAGATTTGTGATGGCTTCTGTACCAGACATTACTGTCTGGATCTACTAAACTATGAATTGAATTTATAGGTATTAATCATGTTGACTGTGGATTATGTAATTTATCTTCTCAATACCATTACTATCTGGATATGAATGTTATTGTTAACAAAAACTTGTTTGACTAAATATTGAATATAGAAATTGCAATATATGAATTTATTTATTTTGCTTTATTTAATCAAAGCTGAAGTAATACTTTTATTTTATCTTTCTAAGAAGAGGCCTATGTCCAGCAGTGGACTTATAATAGGCTATTTATAATGATGATGATGATGATTATTTAATCTAAATAGGTGAAATAATTTTATACTATTATATATTATTGTTTATACTTTTAGCATTAACACAACGTAAAATAAAAAAGAGATTAAAATATCCAAAAAGTTTATTTTTCTTCTGATAAATATATTTAAGTGTGGAATTATTCCAATGATCCTCTATTACACATTTTTTACAGCACAATCACACTTATTATTATTTTATTTAACAGAAATAATACATATTATGCAAAATAATTTAATAACTTATAGACCTTGCAAACTTTTTCCTGGAGTGTTTTTTTTTCATAAACTCCATTAATCATAAGCTTTCACCAATCTGCTTTTACTAGTGTGTGAGTTGAATAACCAGAAGATGTTTTGTCTAAGTAGTAACTAAAAGATTTATTAACAGTTATAAAATATGTGTGTATGATATTTTATAGATACTTTGACATTACATTTGTAAGTAGATATAACATGTGATTACAAAAAATATCTAAAGGTGTTCAGATCTAGCGAATGCGCCGCTTGGGAGCCGTTTGTAACCTGCACGTGCATTTCATGTTCACAGGCATCCCAAGTTGTCGCACTAGAGAGGTGCACCAAACGTAGGCTGTAACCGCACACGAACAACAAGCGCGCAAGTCGCGAGCGGCTCGGGAGCGAAACATTCGCCGTATCTGGACGCATCTTAAGCATGTTTAACAGTCAGAGCCAAGCTACGGTATGGCCTGAGTGGCTACACCAGAGGGATGCCACATCCTCCCTGAAAACCATTGTTAAGTCACTGTTTTCAGTGAGTGAGTGAGGTTAATGGAGGAGCAGTTCTCAAAGATTGCATTTACAATTACATATGCAAATACAACTTTCAATTTTTCATAAATTTTTGTTTGTGCATTTAAAAGATTATGAATCTTTTACTTACGATACTACAACTAAATAGTCATGTGGCTATTCAGTTCTAATACATTTTTTCTTTATTTAGGGTAGGACAGAGATATACTTCAGAGCTATGCTCATTTGGTAACCCATTTTATAATATATTATTTTCTAGCAGAGTTAATTATAATTTAGGTCTACCATCTTAAGATTGTAAATAATAGCTATATACTTAGGTAGATACATTTTGCATTATGATTTAGGTACCTACTATCACTACATATTACTTTACATACATTTTGAAGTTGCCATAACTGGATTGCCACTATTTTCGGTAATCATAAAAATGTATGTCATTTAAGTGAAATTTAATTGAATTAAAATTATCTGATGTTCATTAATTATTTATAAAACATAGATAGGCACACTTAAGTAGTTCAAATTTAATATAATTCAATTGTACTTTAGGCAAAACATTATTAAAATTTATAAGTACAAAATTTGGTGTGAATTGAAATAATTTACTTAAAAGGTCTTTGGAAAAAAATGATTATCTACAGGTTCTGCCTAGTTTGGGATGAGACTGCTGTGTGCGAGATGTGTCAAGTTATTAATAATCATGGAAAATATCAACTATTTGTGCAATACATGAAAAAAAATAATTTAAGCTATACAAATTGTATATGGAGAAAACAATATATGAAAGTGAACGGTCGGTGGGCCTTATAAGTCTTAAACAAATCATGAGCAAACAATTTATGTCATACACAGGCTTATTATATTAAGGATTAGACCATATCTAATCTCTAGTATCAGATTTCATTCTTTATCTCTTTCAGGACTATCTCTACATTACCAAAGGCACTGACAATGTGCCTTTTGCCATATTTCACTGCACCAAAAAATAATGAAAAAAAAAGTTGTGGTCCAACCCTTAATAAACCTTTAATGATCATTTATAAACAATTGAATATAGCTTTTTGGATAGAATTTGAACATGGAATGCTTATGTATATAAGCAGGAGAAAGTAAATTAATATCATCACCAATAAGTGCATCAAAGTCCAGCTATTATTTTAAGCTATATTATTTTAAGCTAATACAAAAAACTTACACATATTTATATAGATACAGAGTAAATGTAGGTGTTCAACAACCACGTTAGAATACAACTTACAAATACCAAAAAGACAAAAATTGCCACAGTTTAAATAATTATTTGAACATAGCAAGATATTAAGCTTTTGTTTGTGAAGGATTAGATTCTAAACTGAGTGGTTTTAATATTTTTTTTGTTACAGGTTTCAGTGTGGCTGGTAAAGCACAAAAATTAAGGGATATCTTACAGAACACTGGAATTTCTTTGCCTGGTACCTATATTGTTAACTCTGAGGCACTAAAGTTTTCCATATTATTATATTATGTTCAAACTGTCATTTTTTTAATATTATCTATATACATAGTTGACTGAACAGTACATGAGATGCAAGCCTATCTCAAACTTAAAGTAAAATAAATAATACAATTTAAGCTAGATGAAAGACCACATAACTACAGGATATTTAAGTAGAAAAGCTAACCCTAGCCCAAAGATTTTGTAAAACATCAGTCATAATATTAAAGGTAGACAATATTATACATCAATAATTAATAAATACATTTTCAATTTTATTTATATAATTCTAGTGTCACCAAATTAACTTCAATCAGACATTACAAAAATTAAGCACATTGTGAATTACATAGGACTACACAAATACAAAACATGTTTTAGTAGATATAGTAGATTTCTAATCAGTATTTACTATTAGGAGTAACAACACAACATGTCTTTAATTTATTGCACAGAAATAATGTGTCCACTTTCAGCACCTATTCTTACACTACATTCCCATAACAATACTCTTTTTTAATTGACTCAGAAGTTATTTCACTTATAATTTAATTATATACTTCATTATACACATCAGTGTAATTAGTTAAGGAGAACCATTTTCATTACAAAGTAGCCAAAATTCTCGTGAATCCCATACCTGCTCCTAGCACAGTTTGTCCAATGCCCCATATCAGAGCATGTATAGGTGGCATAGTTAAGTTGGCAGCTCGGTATATGAAGGCAACGGCAGCGCTAGTAGCTACTCCTGATGTCACTGGACTCACAACACCCATCACAATTAACAATACTGGAAAGAATTTCCCGTACTTGTGTTTTCTTAAAGTTCCAAAGGCGACAAGTGCTGCACACGTATGTACGAAAACTGAGGAGAACAAAGACCACAGAAACACCGGGTACCACATCTCACCGAAGGTATCCAACGGATCGCCAGAAGTCAATCTAAATATGTCTGTGATGGAATCGAATTCTGACACTCGGAATTCGGACAACATGTCATACATGTTGTCTCTCGGTATTCGAAGCGTACAGGCATCGGGGCAGATTGTAATTTCGAAAAAATTCTTACAACACAATGTATATAATTCCTTTCTCAGGTTTGATTTGGAGCGAAGTTAAAATTGTACAGTTCGAATCACTAATAAACTATGTAATTCACATTTATTGTCATATAAAATTGAAAAATAGGTGATATATTTATTTTATAAACAATTTAATTTCGTGATCGTCACTCCAATAATTTAGGCTGACATTTTATTTACTTGTGACATGACAACAGACAATTGACATAACAAATATGTCAAAGCTTCTCTAATCACATGGATTGGAGAACAGATGATTTTACCTACAAAATCATTTTTACAAGGGAGTCAAGTTAAATCCATAGATCAGTCATACAACATTTTTTTTTTAAAATAATACTCATCAAATGTCATAATTAAAATTTTATGCACTCAGTGCAAGTTTCTGTAAATAGGTCCCTTCGACAATGTTAAGTCGTATGGTGCGTCCATAACATCCAATCTACGCTGCGCGTTGGTTATGTTATTTATTTGCCTTCCGAGAGTCTGCGCCCTGTTGGCACCCTTCTAGTCTGTACAGCCTACTAAATATTTTTTTATTTGTTGTCTAAGTCGAAGCAAGAGCGTCTACCTTCACATTAAATTAGCCTTTGAGTATGAAAACTTAGGGTAGTCTTGATATTTCCCACTTTTTATAAAATCTGTTTATTTTTACTTTACAATCTGAGAATAACCAAAGCAGTTTTTTTTAATCCTTCATTATAAGATTCCAGCTCAAATCACTTTGACCTAAAGCTGAAAAAAATAAATATTGATGTAATTTTGATTGGTTTGAAATGATGTGAAGCTAGGCACGATCGAAGGCGTTTACTCTTTTGTGAGTAATCTAGTAAAGGTGTAATAAACCAGAAAAGTATCTTAAAAAGTTGAATAGTCTCCGAAATATTACATCTACAGTGTATTAGTTCGTTTGATAGTCGTCTTAAAGCTTCTGTCAATGTAAGTATTAATATTTTGACTGTTATTCCAATGACCTGAAGTTCGTGACGTGTTCTTTGACAGTAGTGTAATTTTCTGCGATTGTCTGACGGTAAAATAACCTAAGTGGTCTACTGGTTCCTCGTGATTTGTTTACAGTTGTTGCCTTTTTTATTATAAACCACAATGGGAAAAGTACGATCTGCACCGGGGGCACCCCGGAGACAAGGGTTCAATAAAGGAGCCCATTCCATGAATCCAGATCGTCCAATAGAAGGGTTAAAGGGTGTGGCAAAGCCTAGAACCAAAGGTACTATCAAGAGACTTCAGATGTACAGAAACTTTAAGGCTAAGCGAGACAAAACTGGTAAAATCTTAACCCCAGCACCATTTCAAGGTTGGTTGCCCTCAGGCACCCAAGCTCGCGTAGAACCTAACCAAAAGTGGTTTGGCAACTCACGTGTAATTTCGCAAAATGCTTTACAAAAATTTCAAGATGAGTTTGGAGCAGCTGTTAAAAACCCATACCAGGTCATTATGAAACCCACTAATTTACCTATTACTTTACTCAATGAAAAAGCTAAAAATGCAAGAGTACATTTATTAGACACAGAAGGATTTGACAAAACATTTGGGCCAAAAAAACAAAGAAAACGGGTTAATTTAAAGTTTGGTGATCTACAATCTCTTACTAAGGCTGTTGAAGACAATATTGAAAATTATGATGAAATCAAAGACATAGACAGAGTGCGTGAGGACTTGGGTGTGAAGGAAGGACAGAGGGATTGGGTCTTTGGTGCCGGGATGAGTAAGAGAATTTGGAATGAGTTATATAAAGTAATAGATTCATCTGATGTCCTCTTACAAATCTTGGACGCAAGGGACCCAATGGGGACTAGGAGTCCATATGTGGAAAAATTTCTTAGAGAAGAGAAGAGACACAAACATTTAATATTTATTTTAAATAAAGTAGATCTAGTTCCTAACTGGGTAACACAACGCTGGGTAGCTATTTTAAGTGCCGAATACCCAACAGTAGCATTTCATGCTTCCATGACACATCCTTTTGGTAAAGGATCTTTAATTAATCTTCTACGTCAATTTGCTAAACTACACATTGATAAGAAACAAATCAGTGTTGGATTGATTGGATATCCAAATGTCGGTAAATCATCTGTTATTAATACTCTACGATCCAAAAAAGTTTGTAAAGTGGCCCCAATTGCTGGTGAGACAAAAGTTTGGCAGTACATTACATTAATGAGAAGAATATTTTTAATTGATTGTCCCGGTATTGTTTATCCATCTGCCGAGACAGATACAGAAAAGGTTCTTAAAGGAGTTGTTAGAGTTGAATTAATTCAAAATCCTGAAGATTATATTGAAGAAGTAATTAAAAGAGTCCGGAAAGAGTATTTAGTTAAAACATATAAAGTTGATGCTTGGGACACTGCAACAGAATTTTTAGAAAAACTTGCTTTTCGCTCTGGTAAATTGCTGAAAAAAGGTGAGCCAGATGTTAGTCAAGTTGCTAGAATGGTGCTTAATGATTGGCAAAGAGGAAAACTTCCATTCTATGTGGCACCAGAAGGGTTTGAAGTCCCACTATCAAAGCAGAATGAGGATATATCAACAACAACTGAACTTGACAAGGAACAAGACAAAAAGGATGACACTGTTCCAGAGACTGTGTCAGATGCTGACAAAGACAAACAAGATAATTCTGAGAAACCTGTTTATATCAATAAGTTGATTGTAGCCCAAGATTTTGCCAAAATTAGAGTAGGCTTGCAGTTTGACAATGATGATGATGTTAAACCTCTTGAGCAAATGAATATTCCTAAGGACCTTGAAGGAATTGATGATGACAACAATACAGAAAATAATGATTCAAAGAGTATTCATGAGGAAACTGTTGAAGATCCTGACTCATCAGATATTAGTGACTTTTATAGTGATGAGGAGAATAAATGTAGTGATGTGGAAGATCATTTAACAAATGATGCAGAAACAGTAAAAGAACTTAAACGCAAAAGGCTTGAAGCAGCCAGTGGTGAGTTTACTGTTGAAGATATTTCAGAAAATCAAAAGAAGTCTAAAGCTGGTATTGAGAAGAAATTGACCGCTAAGAAGAGAAGAGCTATCGAGCGAGCGCAAAAACGAACAAAGACAGGAAGCAACTTTTATGAAGTATCCAATGTCAAAAATAGAAATAGAAATAAAAGGATACCTTTGTAAATCTATGTCAATACATTATGTTTACAAGCTATATTTGTTTTATCTTTATATCATAATTTCACATCTGTAATACCTTTTTAATAAATGTAAGGAATACAATAATGTGTACATGTCTTGTCGCTGGTGGCAATTTTTTTTTTTGTTAACGTAGCTAAATAAGAGTTGAAGTTTGAAAAACTGCCAAACAAACACCCATTAACATAATTAATATGATGAAGCGATTAAAATTGCATTTTATCATCACCAACAACAGCCTTTAATAGTCCACTGCTGGACATAGGCCTCTCCTAAGAATGGAGGTTTAAATTGCATTTAGATGTAACATAAATCTCTACAAATAAATAAAATTGAAGTGTCTGTAAAATTAATAGGTTTTTTCATACTCACACGGTTATTTGCACGAATTTTTTTTTTTTCGTCTGTCTGTTTTTTTGATAATATTTTACTACCAAGTAGCTGTCTATATAAGGTTAGGCTATTTTCCCTATGAGAGAACTAAAATTTTGCGCGGTCCGAATCGAATCCACTAAGGCAGCGCTTTCAAATTCCACCCCAACGAATTCGTGGATGCCAGCTTGTTTGAATATAAATTTGTTTAGATTTTGCGCTACAAAAGCACAAATCTAACAGTGAGTTGGAAAACCTAGTCTCAACATTTATTTACTAAAAAATAATAAGATAAAAATGTAACGCATAATAATTCTTTTGCATATACTGAACTTGCTTCGAACTAACTTATCTCATAACTGAGACTTGCACTATGAAAGTGAATAAATTATAAATTTTATTTATAATATATATATTAAAACTTTTTATTTTTTTATGTTAGAGGGGGCAGACGAGCAGACGGGTTCCCTGACGTAAAGTGACCATGGCCCGCCCATGAACGTCTGCAAATCAGGAGTCACAAACGCGTTGCCGGCCTTTTAGGAAGGAGTACGCTCTTTTCTTGAAGGTTTGAAGGTCGTATCGGTCCGGAAATACCGCAGAGGGCTTATATAAATTACATAATTATTTTATTAATAACAAAAAGAGTAAACTTATGCTGAAGATATGTTATCAAACTTATTAAAGTTACATATATCATAAACTAATCATGATTATAGGCTCATTGTTTTGAGGTTTTAAACTTACTAGATATTACCTAACCTAGTTTGAGAAAAGGGCTCGGAGGAAGAAGAGTAATCTCTTCTTCCTCCGAGCCTTTTTCTCAAACTGGGTTAGAGTCGGCTTTAAATCTACTACGATATGGCTGAACTTCGTTTTTAGTGCCATCAGACCTCCACAACCCAAATACTAGGCAATATCGAAGTTGTGTAGAAATACTGTTATTGGAATTTTCAGGGTTCCATTACCCGTAATGATAGATGTTCGTATGGCAACTGGGACCGCCGGTGTTCTCCGAGGTATGGCGGGGTCTTAATGTGTTAAGCATGGTCACCCATCCATAGACAGATCTGGTTAGGATTGCTTAACTTTGCAGTGTGTTAACCTACTCGGTTACCACTTAACTACGAGTCCCTTACTGGATAAATTATTACTATTATTAAAAAACACTATTTTAGTTGCGCTAGTACAAAAATTGTCTTACTTTAGTAACTCTACCAGAAAAATAGAATTAGTTAGTAGCTTTTTACCTACCTTTAACCTCCCAGAATTAGGAACCGATGGGCTGAAGCAGCATTAGGCTAATAGTAGTACCTAATTTAACAGGTCTTTTGTAAGGTGAATATATTGGTACTATACTCAAGCGGCTCTAGTTCGCTCACCAATCTAGCTTTACCTTCATTTTATCAATTAACATTGTGTGTATTAAGAAATTCTCCCATGGCTTTTCGAGTGAGTGAGGTTAACGGAGCCGACCCGAGGGGCCCATTCCTCCCTCTGATTCTGGGGGGCGGGATTCAAAGGGCGGTCACCACGCTTGTGACTCTTGAATTGCAGATGACTTCGGAAATACTTACGTCTACAATGAACTAATCTTCCTATCTACTTCTTCAATATTATAGATGTCGTCAGGGAGCGAGAGTGACGAAGATTACGTACCTGGTGAACCAGAACAGTTGTCAGAAGAAGGGTCAGCTGACGAAGAGACGGACCAACAGTATGAACATGAAGTGGATCAAAATATTAAGAAACGGAAATTAGTAAAAGACTGTACAGCAAAAAAGAAACGAAAAACTAAAAATAGTGTTAAGGATATCGAATCCAATTCCACAAAAAAACTAGAAGAAATTGAAGTGCCAGCCAACCCAGAAGAAGAAAAGAAAAAGGAAGACGATTTGTGGGCAAAGTTCCTAGAGGGAACTGACACTAAACCTAGATCGGTGGTAAAAGAAAATAATTCAAATATTGAGGCATCTAAAAGTGTAGTTAATAAAGAAGAGACTCCTGAAAAGGCCGCAGCCACATCAAATGACGATAAAGCGAGAGAACAAAGAATTTTCGAGTTTGCTGGTGAAACTATTGTTGTAGAAAATAATAAGATCAAAGAAAAGATTAAGACTGCAGATAGTCCGGCGACAAGTAAGTACTTTTCAATCTAATTTTAATATAAAATTGCATAACAATGCACACAGTCTGCAGAATATACTGGTGCCGATATCTTCTCTTAAAATCATTAGCTAAGAGTGTTATAGGCAGAGGCGGAGTAAGGATCATGAGCGCCCTAGGCAAGCACTAGCGCCCATTCCATATTATAATTCTTTAGTGTATTATAGTTGATGTTACTAACTGTAAATATGTAGTAGTAATTACTCCTAATTCTAGTTGGCGTTTCTTTTCAACATTTTTTTTCTTGTGTAAACCCCCTGGAGCCTTGGGGTTTTCAGTGGGGCGGTGTATCGGATGCAAGTGCCTCAGAGCGGTTTCGCACTACGCCCGATCCGAACGCGTGAAAATACGCGGATCTAGAAATCTCAGGCTGAATTCGGATATTGCTTTTCGCACTGCCTCCGATATCAGAGCCGTGACTACGAATTTGGAAGGCTGACTGACTGTCTGAATTCATATATTGTATACGCACTATTGCGATCTCTGACTCTAGTCTAAACATTTCAGGGGTAACCTTTTACACCCTAGCAGAAGCAGGCCGGGGTGGCGGCGAGCGCGTTGCGAAGCGCGCTCGCTTCCAGGGAACATGGGGTTCCCACACGGGGGGGGGTCGTCTGTAGATGACCCGAGGTATGTCGGGGCACCAGGGACTTCCTTTCTAGGGTATACCTGGTTCCCCGGCTATTAGTACCCGAGACGGCGTGCGGTTTTAGTCGGTTCGAGTCCGACATGCCACCGACAGGTGGTATCCGAGGGGATTTCCGCACGGAAAAAAAAAAAGGGTAACCTTTTAGCATACGTGATTTTACGTGGAGCGTTCATGTCGTTGATCATGAGTCCTTCCGATCGGCGTTTGGCAATGCTGTAGTACGTACGAACGACACAGAAAAAATAAAGAATTCGTTCATAAAAGGATGCGTTCATAAAAATAATAGAATGGCTAGCTTGGTCCATCAATAATCTGACTGAGATTCACGGATAACAGAAAGAAATCGGATCTAGTGCGTAAACTACGGTAGAAATAGTTCTACGACTACTTCGGACCGTATTTTAACGGATTCGGATCGAAGTCTGATGACATGAAGTGCGAAACCGCTCTTAGGCGCTCTGCCACAAGGAGTGCCTTACTGCGTCTCAAATAGGAGAAACCTGGGAACAGCTTTTATTGAGAAATGCGGACTCTTCCTAGCGTCTGTCTGCGAAAGCACAGCCATCACCTTCAGGTGAAAACTTTCGTTTAGGCGAGACCACTATAGCAGATGCAGGAAAAACCGTCCCTCCTACCCGCGGCCAAATAAAGGGTGGCACAAGGCGCTGGAGGGCGTGACTTCGGCGCCTAGCTCGCCGGCGGCAAAGCGGATCCCAGAGTATGAGGGCGAGTAGCAAGAGGCCCTCTCTAATACCTGCAATGAGAGCCCGACGCTGCATGTACTGAACGTAGTCCTCACGGCTGTCACAGTGGTGACAGGCGGGATTCAATTTCTTTGTAGCCACGTGCCTACTTTATAATACCAACATTCACACAACGCCATCTAGTCCCAAACTAAGCAGAGCTTGTACTATGGGTACTAGACAACTGATATAAGTACATATATACTTTTTTTTGGAAATACATACTTATTATACATAGAAATACCCATTTGCCTTTGGCATTGCATTGCCATAATCCGCCACTAGTTACAGGACTGTAATAGACTGCATTGGAGTATAAACGATTGGTATTGATTGTATGACTGCTATCTGTCAATCAATCAATACAAAACTACTCATCCGCAATTTCGTTTAAGAAACATCAAAAATGACATTTAAAAGCATAATATACGAGGGGTGATCAATAAGTAATGATAATCAATATGAAACAGAACTATTAGATTAAAAAAAGTATTTTATTTTTCAACATAGTCTCCTTGCAAGTTAATACATTTAGTGTATCTTTTTTCTAAGCCCATGATTCCCTTAGAAAAAAATTCTTTGTCTTGACCCTCCCAAAATGCCTCTACTGCGGCCATCACTTCACTATTGTCCTCAAATTTGTTGCCCCGGAGGTGTTCTTTGAGCCGAGGAAAGAGGTAGAAGTCACTGGGAGCTAGATCTGGCGAATAGGGAGGGTGTTCGAGCAGTTCGAACCCCGTTTCTTCAATGGCAGCCATCGCAACTGCGGCTTTGTGAGCCGGGGCGTTGTCTTGGTGAAACAGCACTCCAGCGCGCAGTTTACCGCGTCTTTTTGACTTAATAGCTTCTCGCAATCTTCCTTTTTGGCCTGCGTAGTAAGAGCCTGTTATAGTGGCCCCCTTTTCCAAATATTCCACCATAATAATTCCTTCTGCATCCCAGAAAACAGACGCCATAACCTTTCCCGCTGAACTTGACACTTTGAATTTCTTCGGCGTTGGTGAGGAAGCTCGTTTCCAAGTCATTGATTGTTGTTTGGTTTCGGGATCAAAGTGGTGGATCCAGGTCTCGTCCATGGTCACAAAACGCGACAAAAAAAAATTCTTTATCGGCCTGGAACTTTTGAAGATTCACCCTCGAAATGTCGACTCGTTTCTTTTTTTGCTCGTCGGTTAACATTCTCGGTACCCAACGCGCAGAGACCTTTTTCATATGCATTTTGTTGACAATGATTTTTTGAACGCTGCCATAGGAGATCCCTGTGACCTCAGCTACATGCCTTACGGTCACCCTTCGATCGGCCAACACGATATCTTCCACTTTTTTGACGTTTTCTCCAGTAAGGGACGTGGAAGGGCGTCCCTCGCGATGTTCATCTTCAGTGGAGGTTCTGCCCAGCTTAAATTCCTTTGCCCAGCGTGCGACTGTGGAATATGGAGGAGCAGACTCCCCCAATGTTTCCTCTAAGTCGCTGTGTATGTCTTTGGTAGACATTTTTTTCAGGCAGAGGTACTTGATGACAGCTCTTATTTCATTTTTCTCCATTTTGATGTTTTCTCTTCGACAGTTCGTATTCAAATGAATGTATCTCCCGGTAATGGTGTCCTATTTATACATTTTTTTGAAGCTGAAGTAGTGGATATATAAGCAAGCAGAAAAAAAAATAATTGGGTTTTTGTGCGTTCTAGAAATACTCGATTATCATTACTTATTGATCACCCCTCGTATGTGGACACTAAGGAATGATGACGTGGATTACCAATGGCAGATAAATCATGACACTCATATGTATTTAAAGAGCTGACAATTTACAAACGATCGTAGTATCTTTTTTACATCGATTACGTTAATACCAATTTAAAATCGTAATTTTAGATTGGTATATACGTAATCGATTTATATGGGAAAATTTTGATTAAGTAAGTTTATCCTTTTTATGAGCAGTCCGGTAAGAGTTGTGTCCCAAGAAATGCATTTGCTCCTTTTGCAGGTAGTAAACTAAACGACATTGCCCGCGGTCGACCTGGAGCCGCAGGAGGTCTCTCCAGCGTCCTGGGACAGTTGAACAAAAAGAACAAACTATCCACCCTGGAGAAGTCTAAGCTAGACTGGTCTACTTACAAGCAAGAAGAAGGTATCGAAGAGGAGATTGAGAGTCATAATAAAGGAAAAAATGGGTAAGATCAATATACAAATTGCAACACCTTTCTTAATTTTCCTATAGCTAAAATTGACTCCGGCTACGCATTGTTATAGTACATAATATGCTCTGCTTCTCACCTACATTTTTTCATCACAGTGTGTTAATTTTAGAATATAGACATATGTTTAGCGTTTTTATATTGTAATAGGTTTCTTTTGTGAGGAATGTAATGGCATTATGTTGGATTAGTACCGAATAAAACTACACATTGTTCCGTTATTAAATTTTTTGCCAGGGCCAGGCCTCATGTGTGCCTTTGAAGAAGATCCTATGAATCTCGTCAGACTTGGCATCCTGTTAAGTCATTGGCGGAGAGCCCTGATCCTTCTAATTCATAGAGATGCACGCAGTAGACACAGCTAGGCCAATAGATGACCCTGTCCGCCACCCTCAGGCAAACAGGCAAACATGCAGATCATTTTGCTTCTCTGTGGGGATAGTGCTCATATTGTCTCCTTTGACGGGAGTGTTGTAACAGGTCTATTTAAGAGAAATAAATTCTTAACACATTGTTTACGTGGCGCACGCCAGTCGTCTATTTAGACATCTTTATCAATATTTCATGAAACCTTCAACAAACCTTATTGAATTATACACCTAAATCTCTTTCATAAATTACTCTTTCTATAAGTGAAAACCGTATAAAAATCCGTTTAATCCTTTAGCGTTCCGTCTCCAATTCAAATCACATTCAAATCAACACGTCAAAGGTTACAGGACAAATAATTGCGTAATGAGTATGCTTATTTTTCTGTCTGCGTATAATTTATCTAAAATTTGAATGTATTTGGAAATATTTAAGTATGTTTATCAGCATTCTGGTCACCATACTAGACTGTCGTGTGTGAGATAGTTGAAGTTGTATTTAGTTCTATGTGTTAAGGGAGTTCACCGCGCACAAATGACAGCATTCGTTTAAGAACGCTGGCATTTATGGCAATACAGTGGCCTCTTCAGCATTAGCTGGAGCGTATCATTCTTCACCACTTTAGTGACATAAAATAGTCATGACGATACAAGTTATGGCTTTATGTAAAAAGCTGAGTTGAAATGATATAAATATTCATATAAAGATTTAAATCTAAATAACTAACATTAAAAGTATGTGTTATGCTTGCAGTTACTTGGAGCGACGCGATTTCTTGGAACGAGCGGACGTTCGCCAGTATGAAATTGAAAGAGATATGCGACTAAACCGCCGTAGCAATCGATAAAATCTTAGCAAAATACACTCATGATTTAGTAAATTTCTTCAATAAAGCATTTTTATTGTACCTTTGTATTTTTAATGGATATTTTTAAGTAGCTAATTTCATATCAACTGTAGTGCTGTGCTAATAAACATAAACACATAAAGCTAGGTAATCCTACTCAGTTTAGCCGTGGGAGAGCCATGGCTGGACACTAATAGGCCAGCTCGACCCGAATGATATCACGGTCTCACAGAAAACTCGTGTTAAGGAGTTTCTCGTTGCTTTTTACAGAGTGAGTGAAATGATCGGAGCCCAAATTTTGTAGTTAGGGACTTAAAGTGTAGCAACGCATTTGTGACTCTTGAGTTGAGTGTACATGGGCGGCGATATTCTCCTTCTATAAGGTGACCCATTTGCTCGTTTGCTCTCACTCACTCTCTCTTAAAATGCGTTCGCTTTTGCCCGTTGTTCCGCATGGTACACAGATGACCACGTGGTACGCTTAGAAGTGGTGATGCGAATTAGCCATTAATAACAAGAACTATACTATGATAAAATCAAAGTGTTTAATGTGTGGGACGAATAATAATTCGAAATTATATAGGTAACTAGAGAGACATCGATCCTGCACAAAATTGCAGGTCGCTCAGGTAGCAGTTATCTTTGTACTGAAAATAAGTGTAAAAATCACTCTGGCACACTCGACTCCTCATAAATGTAATATAGGGTTATTTGAAAAAGAAAAGAGCATAGGTACTCGTACAAAAAAAAAAGTTGTTTTATTATGTAGAGTAAAGAGAAAATGAATAAAGAAAATAAAACATATATTTACTTATGATAATGACGGAGTGTGTTTGACCGAGTACAATGGGTAGGTTATGAATGAAATCATTCAAGTTCGTGTAAAGGACAGTGGATATATGTATGTGCGTCGATAATTCTTCACGCTTGATTAGACCGCCGCCAGAACCTTCAAAGGCAGTGGTCGTATCAATATGTATTTGAAGATAATTTCATCTTTGTTCTATTCCTTTCATATTAACGCGAGTTTCCGAGAAGTGTCACATGCTCAGGTGTTTAGAACAGGCACTGTTCAATGCATCGACGCGTTTAAAGTACCTTACAGTTTTACATTATCCTTATAATTGTCAGTCTACCTAGACCAGGATTTATTTAAAGATTTCTACACCTCAATGAAGTGAGAAGTGATGAAGAAAATGTCCCATGCACAATTAAACAGAGCTATCTGTTTTCTGTCTCACTCCGTGAGCTGGTTTTACGCACTTCATTTCAACCAATCATGTTATTATTTTATGCATATTTGCCGTAACGAAAATAACCTAACACACCCCACGTGATAGTTTTTAGTTTTGCCATCTATCGATGAATAGCAGAACTTTTAATGACTTTTTTGAAATATCACGCTTGTCTCTTTACTCGCCTCTAGGTGACATTGGTTGTATCGGCGTTACTGCGCATGCGTAATCCCCCTCTTCGCCCCGCAATCTAATTACTATCAAAGAAAAAAAAACAAAGGAAAAAAAAATACTGCATAAATAAAATAAATAAATAATTATAATTGCATAAGTTGATAAAAAATGCTATGCAAAAGCTTTACCGCGGCAGTCCCCGAGTGCCTCACGTCTTTTTTTTTAGTTGACGGGGTGGAAAATCCCTTTGGATCTCCGGCTCCTTGGGGATGTAGGAGCCAGGAGTATGTGGTGTTTGCACTTAAAACCACCCCGACGGCCGGAATCAGGCGCCCTACTCCGAGGAGGACCCGGACCATGTTATTTCAGTAAATAACATGGTCGCACACATCCCAGATCGACAGACTTAGCTCATTAGTGTTTTGCTTTTATGTTTCTCTAATATGCCACGTTGTTATATTATAACCGATATTTGCTTAAGAGAGAGCTGCCGCGTTGCGACGATGACATCTTCTTTATAATTTTGTTCCAAACTTCGCTGAGTAGTACGATACTGACTTTGTTGCTTACATCCTTATGCACTTACGATTATTTTTTTGGAAATTTTAACCTTCAGTTTGGACTTTGAAACTGAGTAGGCAGTTTTTAAATTTCGAACAGAGACTTTGCTTAAACATATTTTACGTGCATTAAAACTAAAAACTTTCGTGCGTGGTACATATTCACATCACACATCAACAGCTTTTAATAGTCCACTGCTGGACATAGGCATCTCCTTAGAAATGATGGTTTGGTTAATATTATAAAGGTTAATATGTATTTATAAACCTTTATCAAGGGGTGAAGTGGCACTGCACTTGTTAAGTACCCCGTCAGGTTCAAAACGAGTTGGGTGTCCTCTAAATACACACGCGAGTAAAACCGTATATTCTTTATGCATATTTTAGCCTGTTTAGTGTGATAACAATCAGTATTAAAATATATTTATGGACGTCGATAGATTTATCGCACATTGTCCACACCGTGACTCTCTTTTTGCGTGTTATTTACTAGTAGGTATTAAATGCATGTTTCTAAGCATTAATATTAGTTTGCGAAGGTTCTGAATAACACGATCTTACAGTGTGTATATATTTTAATGGCTTAAGAATAATTTACAAAAGTTACAAGTAATTTAGTAAGTTAAACTGCATGAAATTTTTGTAGGAACAAAAATGGATGAAGAAACACGAGTGGTTATAAAATATCAGAGTCATGACTTCTGCACTCTCTCTGTTTAATGCTCAGGTAACCTAGACAACTAAGATAGAATACATATATGCGCAGTAGTTGTTAAATAGGGATGAAGCTTCTTTTCTTCTGACTGTCTCTGTGGTTGTGGAGCTTACCTTCATTTCATTTTTATTTGTGTAGAAGTTGAAATTAACAACTTTATCTATTACCTTAGATGACAATCAGATTGTCAACAAGTTTACTCAACCGCTTTTGTTTTATATTGAATCAGAGCCATCAATAATAATATATTATGGGTACATATTACGAACTAATAACTACAAACACAAAAAAATACAGGCTACATTTATAAAAAAACGTGTTCACGCAGTGCCCGCTATCTAAGATTAATTTGATTAAATGACGTCACTACGTAAAGATAAGTTTATTTGAAAGCGTCAATAAAGTGACATTAATCGTTTTTTTTTAGTTTATCCTTTATGCAGAAAGATGCTGTTAATTTTGATTTTTTTACTTAAGTACGTTGTATTCAAATTGGCTTCCAATCTTAGTTACTGTTGCTATTGAAACCAACGCATCTTTGATTTCATCGTTGCCGATCTTTAGCGGGCAGAAGGCACCTCTGGAGTTTTATCGTGAGCAGTACAAGATTACTCATGTTTATGTTTGAATTGTCATCAACTGGCCTAGCCTAAAAAATATTTTGCTTCCCGTGATCTACAAAAAAATATTGGCTTCATTCCATCCCTGCGCCTAAAGCTGAATACGCTCACGACAATAACTCTCTATTTGTATTAATAATTTATTTTAGTGGTAGTTCACGTTAACCTTTTTTTGGATAGCTGCAGTTTGAGTTTAGATCCTAGTGAACCAGAGGACGTGCTACGGATTCCCATCTAGAACAATTATTCGTGTGATAAGCACCGTCACTAGTTCTGCGTATTGATGTAACTTGTAAGTATATTTATCAGCAGTTCGGTTACAAGTTCAGCATAGTTTGGAATTAGACGGCTGGATGTAAGGTGATTTAAAAAAAAATTGCAAAACTTACCTTTACTGAACACCATTGCCGATATCGAAGGAATGTGTTTTGCGCAGTATCACTGTATAAGAACAGTTAAATACATGCAGGTATACGGATCTAGCTCTACTGTCAAATGAACAATGTGTTATTAGCTGAATTACTTTTGATAGGATTAATTGACGTTGAAAACGGCTAACTGAAGGTTTTAGTGAAACATCATCTGAGTACCGATTTTTTTTTCACACAAGGTGAGTATGAAGATACATACTTATTTCATTTCACCTTCATAGGTAGTCTATGGGTGACTGAATAATTCCAGCTACCCATTTCCAAAAATAAAATAACTAAGATAAAAGATATAATCTTGATTAAAAAGACAGCAAACATATGTGTTAAAACAACTATAGATGTATGCAAATAACAATAGGTACCAAGAGAACATCACGTACGTCACAATTTACGTGTGGTAGATCTCTCACATCAACGATTAATGTATCAAAGCACAATGTATATTGCAAATATAGGTTCTTAATAGTAACAAACAATCTTGCAAGGCCCATTTCATCCATTCTACTCAATCACATCAATGAACGCGGCTCACAAGCGAACAATCAATTTCAATTTGAACGAGAGCGTCGCTGCAGACTTCGAACGATTTGCACACATTGTGCTAATCAAGCACTAAACAATATTTGTCGAGGTTACAGTGTCACATAGCAGTAACATAGCACTAGCTAGCTAGTGGCCAGTAGTGCGAATGCATTCGTGCCGCGTTCATGACCATTAATTTTGTTTGAAATATTCAGTTTCGTTCCACTCGTGTTACACAAAACTAGTGCAAGAGTTTATTTTAGAACAGTAAGTGTAGTGTTCCTACAATGACCACATATGGTAGATGGACGATGTACGACGGAGGATTGCAAGGTGTTCAGGTAGTATTAAATGCTGACTCGTAGGCTAAGTCAATTTAAGCGATGTGGTATAATACGTATAACATTACAAAGGTATTTAGACACTATTGTGCAGTAGAGAGGATACAATACTAACACGCATTTAAAATAATGTCAAATCACTTGTTTTAATTGTGGTAAATTGATAAACGTCCCACTACATTAAACGATTGAATAGTCTGGTAATTGTATGGTTACTCGATAATTGATTTGGCAAATATATGCAATACATGTTTAAATCAAGGTGGACGTTTACCAGAAAGTATTATATGCATTAGACTAACATACATGTAACTAACTAGTTTTAGTATTTTTCGAAGATTACGCCATTTGTTTCTTAACAGTTTTATTATCACGTGTTGGAGGCTTAAAGACAGTTATACATTATAAAAGCCAGAATATAATCTCGTACTTAAGTTCCTAGCGGTAGACAAACTGACTCCAAGTCAAATGTCAGATTTGCAACCTTCGTTTATCGAATTGTTATTGTAAAGAACTTTTGATATTCTACGAGCACTGAGTTTACTAATAGAATTGGGGTGATATGACTGATTTGTGAGATTTCCTTCTTTATTACTATTCTTTTTTTGAGATGTAAATTACATATTTAACACTCGAAATTGAACACCACTCCACTGGGGCTATCCATTCGTACAAAAAATATAAATTCATATATGAGTACACACGATTTTATTTTTCTGTGCCATTGTAGAGAGCATTTCTCTTAACAGTGCTTTCATTGTTTGTATCTTTCTGCAATTGTATTCAAAGGAATATAAGTTCATCAGTATTCTAAGCTTTTTCAAGTTATAAAAGATTGGGTTTACATTGTGGTTTCAATTTAATCATTATTATTTAAAAGTGCAGTACAGTTACTTTTAAGTAATATTTATTGCTCTTGTCTTAAGGGGTAGAACTTAACTAAGAAAAACTATATGGAAACGGAGAAGCTAATGACTTCAAAAAGCCTATAATAAGTAGATAATCCATAGATTCACACACATGCACTGACATTACACGCACACGCACACACATACACTCTCACACACACACACGTGCACACAAGCAAACACACCAGTTAATGTAATACAAAGTAATTTAAAAAATTTATGTGCTATGTACCTTTTGCTTAATTTTATGGAACTCAGCAACGGACTGTTCTTAACACAGGCTATACAAGTAGCCTAGCTAGAACGTCTAGGACTACAATATAAAAGGTTGTATTTTACGAAATAAATAAATTAAATTAAATTAAAAACTTAGTATCTCTTATACAAACATTCTCTCAAAGTAAATTGGAAAGCCAAATAAAAGTAAGACTCGAGTTTTTTTTTCTGGATTTGCCTGTAGCCTCTTGTGCCTAGCCGCGGTCAGTTTCCTCAATAAGTAAAGCCATTTCTTCTGTGGCAAACATTATCATTAGTCAAGCCTACCTTCTGTCCCTTTAGATATTTGTCATCCCGAGTGATGAATAGCCCCTATTTACATTTACCTCAAACCTGGACTTTTTCATACTTACATAAAAGTAAAATACAACCGTGTTCTAGCTTTTAAGGTATTGTACAGGTAGGTACATTTACTTATTTTTAAAGTGTTTGCAACCGTAGACTGAATCATTTTTTATGACAATTATGACCCTAAAAAAATACTAGCTTCGAAATTCGAATAGCTAAAAGTGTTTTTTTAATGTATTTTGTTGAATAAGATAATGGTATTGGCGTCAGATAACAATAAGTAATGGACAATAACTAGGATTCTCCCCATCAAAGTATTACAAAGTTTCTTTATAAGTAACAAAAATAACTTGAGAGATTATAATATTATGACTATGGTGTTTACCTATAAGTGGCTGTTGCATTGTTATTAAATATATGAGTATGAGTTTTAGTTTAAGGCATCAATGTAAACAGTTGTTGGTGAACCTTTATTAAATAAATGAGATGTGTGATAGGTTTGTAGGCATGTGCGTTGTAGCAAATATTAAGTAGAAGTTTAAAGAACTCATATCTTGTTACCTACCCTACAAAATGGGCTCCATTGACCCAATTGAGATCTATAGATGATGTCGACGTTACAATGCTGTATTATTGTTAAACATATATTTTAGAGTTAATTTGAATAAGTATGAGTATTATATTCATATAAACTACCTAAATTCTTAAGCTCTATTTTTAGTTAGCAATATTTATGTATTTTGTATTTTTTATACAAAATAATGTATCTTAAATATTGTTACTAACATATCCCATACCTTAATATTAAAACTAGTCTGGTATAATGTGTTAAATAACTAGCCAGTAGATCCTTAAGTAACACATCAGTCAATTCCCAGAATTTTACTAGTAGGTAGAAACCTACGATTTGTAAACACGATTTGGTCACCACTGTTCTATACCTTTGTTTGCTCTGTGCTGTTATGAATTCTATGAACAAGGTTTAGATGACAGTACTTGAATAAAATGTTTATATATATTTTGTACTTTATTATAATAATAATAAAATTTTATTGATAGCCATTGTTACAATACATCAGGACCCTGATTCCTGTGGTAGGTTACAACCTGTGTTACAGGAAACAGTGTCTTTACCCATACAATAAGAATATAGTTAAAAGTGTGCGTGTGTGTGTGTGTGTGTGTGTGTGTGTGTGTGCTTGTGTGTATGTGCTTGTGTGTGTGTGCTCATTGTACCAAGTTTTCGGTTTGTGTGTAGCGGAGCGTTAGTAGCCATGATTTTATTTTAATTTTGATGTTTTTTTGCCAGTGAATTAATGAGCAGATTGAGTAGAGTTTTGTTTATTATGTTACATTTGCACTTGTAGTTGTAGTTCTACCTACATTCTAAAGGTTTGCAAAGGTTGTTAATAGTTCGCTTTTTTTGTTTTCGTGATTAATCGGTGTAACTTTGTGTTGCATAATTGTTATATTGAGAACATACAATTGTCTTACTGTAAGTAGTTCACACTTTTCATACATCACATCATGTGGTTCAAACGTTCAAAGTACCAATTTTTGGGCTCTTTCTAGAAGAATCATATAGGTTTTGCAGGACCCTTCTCCATATCGTTATACAGTAACTAATGATCGTTTGTGCTAGTGCAAAATAAATGGAAATGGAAATTACTTTATTTGGAATTCGGCGATTGTATGATTGTCTTGGGTAACTTGCGCTTGCTATAACATTTTTAATACTGCTCTGCTTTATTATTAAGGATAATGTAGTAATGGACGTAATGTTAGTAATCAGTCGCAAAATGTTTACAGCAGTTAAAATGCCCGTATACATTTGGTAACAATCACTGATCTGAGACCAAGGGCCTGATAAAGGTGTAAGCAAAGTAATTTGTAGTCACAAGTGTTATATTTGGTTCGAGGCTGTCCATCACTTTGGGCTTAAACATGAGAAATCACGTCACGAGGTTTAAAATTCGTGATTTTTAGCTCTATATTGCAGTGCATTATTTTGCCTTGAAACTTAAAACATTTAACAATTACTTATCTACTTCCCACAAGAGGGCAAGCAGCGAGGAATCATATAAACGGATATCTAGTATAAATAATGACGTAATCTGGAACAGTGAACGCAGTAGAAAGGAAAAGTGGGCGAACTGCCGATTACCTATACAGCCTCGAGCTGCGCCTACGCGTGTCTACTCGTAGAACTTTGCACCCTTCAAAAAATATTATTAAATTTATCATAAATATTTAGGAATTTTAAATCTTCTTATCACATCAGCTGTTTTCTTCTCAAACAACATTTCCGTAAAGGTAAATGTTATATACCTAAGGAAATAAAATACTTTTAACACACCTAATTTCCATAAAAGTTTCACGTTCATTGTAAGTTTTACCTTTCATGGCATTTTATTTTAGAAGTCTCTATTATTTTATTTAGGTACCTGTAAATAGTCATGAACATATGTCCAGCAGTGGACTATTAAAGGCTGTCGATGATGATGATGACTAGTGATGTGCCGGATATCCGTATCCGTATCCGCGGATATCCAATGGAGAAGAGAGATCCGTAACCGTATCCGTATCCGTGACTTTTTTGGCGGATCTTTCAATACATATTACATAGATTAAATTCTATATAGGTGATTTTGTATTCACTGTAAAACTCTTAGGTATGTGTTTGTAACACTATAAACAGCAACTTTTTTTCTGGCCAACGTCAAAATGAAAAAAAATTGGCCCTCCATTCAAATGACCGATCAAATGTTGTTAGTTTGTATGGAGAAACATTTTTTTTTCTTTCGTTTTCGGTGTTAGTCCAGAAGAAAAGTTGTTGTTTAAAATGTTACTAATATGCACTTCAGAGGTTTTTAGTAAATTTAAATTTAACCCTGAATAATGGTTATTAGGTAGCTATGAAAAACTATTGAATTCTGTTCAGATTACTTATTATTTCTTAAAACAAATATTTGGCACCTTTGTATTGCAATCATTTATCGTACTACACTAAATCAACTAGGCAGGTCGTAGGTACTGAAAGAGCTATCTTTATAAAGAGATCAATCAAACATCTTTGTATTAGCTTATTAAAATAATGAAATATTTAAATATCAACGGCAAAGCGTCAAGTGGCGACAACTATCAAGGTCACGGGCTCCGATTGAGTAAGAAACTTAAGATCCGTATCCGTATCCGTATCATGACACCAAATATTCGTATTCGGATCCGTATCCGCGGATATACTTTGTTAACGATCCGGCACATCACTTGATGACACAGTCTGCCAATATAAAAACAACTGTAAGTCAAAAGTCAACTCATACCCTCGGTTGCAACACGTGTATGTATACGTTACAGTTTCTGTACGGATTTGCATATGAAGACTGTAGACTGCATGAATGAAGAGTGCTAATTAAAATTGAAAAATGAAGGAGAGTTGCGCTATAATTGCTTGCGTTGCCCCTGTAATTGAACGTTTCAAAACAACGGAGCTATTGTTGTCAAAGTACCATAATATTTGCTCAGGTGTGCGCTATTCGAGGTGAGACCCGTACAAATGAATGAGCCACGACGATGATAGTGGTGCGAAGTGCGCATGTGTACTCGCGCTCGATAACCGCACTACGCCCGTGTCCGCTGCACGTGTCTATGTGATCAGCCGTAAGAATTCTGTGCGTACCGACCGAGAGAGTAGAGACTGAGATGAAAGAGGCTGTGCCGCGACCCCATAGACCCGCGAGCGTACCGCCCGCGCCGAACGGATCGCGAGCTCCTCGGCACTCGGGCGCGGGGTGAGCCGTGCTCGTAAGCGATGCGCGCGATGGCCGGTGGCGGCGCGCCAGTCGCACACTCGCGCCTGTCGGGGTAGGCGCCAGTCTGCTGTTTAGAATTTAATCGCGCTTTTTAACACTGCCGTATTCTGATTATACATATACATCGAATTTGTAATTTTTGTAAGTGCGCCTGTACATTCTGAATGAGGATTTGATGGTGATGTGTGTAATCGGTGCGGAAAGAAAAAGCTGCGGTGCTGGAATCCAATAAACTTGTGGAAAATCGCTTTATTGGGAAAGTGTTTTTCTTGTTTGTGCTCGGCATCGTTGAGACCGGCAGCGGGCGGGTGCGCGGCCCTTGTGACGGGTTGGTGGATGGTGGAGCGCGGGCGGGCGCCGGGGTGCGGCCGGCGCCGCTAGCAAAATGTCGATACCCCTGGGCCGGGAGACTGTTCTTCCCTCACAGGTGAGTCCTGGTCTTCATCATTCCTTCGTGGTTTTATTGATATCTACGTCGTGCGGTATGTTTTAATAATACCCAAATGATTAATTCTTTTCATCGTCTATTTAATTATTTTGGAAACGTCGCCTATCACATTTAAATTCAAAGTTCAGACTCGCTTGTTTTGTCAAAATTAAGTATCCTCCAGTAAAATTACCTTTCTCTGTTATCAAATAGAATATAAAACTAAAATACCAACCTAAGTAAACATATTTATCCACTTGACTTCGTAAAATAAATCCATTACTTATCAATCTAACTGACGCAAAGTAAACTTATCGTATTAATATCGCCCATATTGATTGCATCTTCAGGGCCTCGTACTTGCGCCTTAATTTGGGCAAAATCTGGCTGTTGAATTAATCAATTAATGATTAGGATATTACATATGAAGTAGATATAACGAAATTGTGAATTTTCAGTAGTGATAAAGTTCGATAAGATTTAGGTTGGTATGGTAATGCGTATTACTACTAGCACGTATAGACTGATCAGTGATCACGTTAAATGATTGTGTCTGTAATTAGCTACTACTAATTTACAGAATGATAGTTACGTAAGATCATTTAAGTATCTAGAGTCTAGAAATATAATTAATAGGTCTAAAAATAAAGTAAGACGTTACTTAATACCTTTTTAGACATGGCTAACACGAGAAAAACTGCAAAATTGAGAATGAATTTAACTTTGACTTCGAATAACCTTTTAACTGAGTTATTCACGATGCACGAAAATGAATGATTTGGCAAAAAATATTAGGTTTAAAAAAAAAAATCTCCAAATATTTTACAAAATAGTAATTAGACTTACGAGGACTGTTAAACAATATTTTTTGCTATATAAGAAAGATGGAAGGAGGACTTAAAACAATTTTTCAATGACAGTTAGCTATAAAATTAGAATTTTCTCGTTTTTTTAAATTTGCATTAATCGTTCCGTGGGAAAGATATACATACATACTGTGATACACAAACACATGTACTTCCTAAGATACATATTTACATATGTGTATACACAAATAATATATAAACATTATTTCTGCCAATCCCCTCAATTATTATTCTCTTTAAAACAAAAAATAAATAATGCCACATACTCAGACATTTCCGCACCACCCAAAGGTAGACGGGCAGAAACTGCCTGTGGCGTTAGGTCCGTCATTGTACAATTATTTGTAATTTATTTATTTACGTACACATTTAGGTAATATTTTATAAAAGACTTTCTTGAGTGTTGGACCAGACTTCGTAGAGAGAGAGAGGCACTTATTCAGCCATAGACGTCATATTTACTGTTTAAATGATGATGAATATCATATACATAGTAATAGTATATGATAAAAATCTGATAACGTTAGTTGATTGTTGCCGTTATCACAATCTAATCACAATATTTTAGTGTAACTAAACTCAAGTAGCGTTAAGGTTTATGTTTGACAACATTTTCTAATAATTGGGAATAGTTTATTTTTGGACCCCTAATAACCGATCGACTTGAAATTTTGTTTACTTACATACAAAATTACATGTTGATCGGTTAGCTTGAAAGGAGGAAGTCTTGTTTGAGGAGAGGCCCATGTCAAGCCAGCCATGATAATATTATTATTTATAACATACAAGAGCGTCTTAACTTAATAAGTTGACCATAGAAACGTAGTCGTATGGCACTGCAAAGGCTTTCACTCTATTTATTTATTAATAAGTACTACCACATCATACATATTATACTTATAACTAGTTTTGACAATATGTGGCATTATACCTGATATGTATGACATTTAAGGTGTACATAGCATTTACTGTAATGTAGTAGTGTAAAAAGTAGTAAACTAATTACAATCAAACGAGAAAAAAAAACTAACTAAAGAAGAGTATACTTAATAATAATAATAAACTGTTTGAATTAATACTACTCTAAATCTATAGCTTAATAGTATTTAAAAATAATATTCTATTAATAAAAACCTTAAGTTTCCACCACGTCAAGTTACAAGACTTACAAGCACTCTGCGAAATTGAATGCTATATAACTTTAAAGAAACGAGTGTGTGCAAATCCTAACGGTATTTAAAGCAAGTTCTAATCGTAAACTTATTGGTGACAGTTGGCAGAATTTGGCTCAAGGTGTATAGATGTGGCACAAATAGGTACCACATGATATGACGTTACGATTACACTTGACCTAACTTGATTATTAACCTCGCTTAGTGTCTAAAGATATATTTAACAAATCGTTTACAATGTCTAAGCTTTGACTAAGTTGTTTTAAATATTTTATACTACATTCCAACTAGAATTCATCATAGTTTACAAAGTCTTTTTTAAATCACGTTTTATTATTTGCATCGTGGCTTCACATATATCCTAGATTCTAGGACCTAAAAAACCCAACATATTTATGGTCGAGGCGCATTCCTAAACAGACTCAACATGTGTAATGTATTGATTTCTTGTTTACTTCATTGTTTGTGAAAATTATGGGCTCGATCCCGGTCTGAGATATCAATATGTGTTTTTTATAAATGTTAGAAAGGTCCCAACATGTTACGTAAGATCATTAAAATTCTATCAAATAAATTAAATTCATAACTTTTTCATTACTTTTTCACATCAGTTATTGTTAATAAAACAGAGTAGGTATTGTTGAAGTTATATTTTTGAAATTAATTTTCTAGAAACTCAAAAGATAGTTTTGGAAGAGCTCTTACCTAAAAAAATTTAGGTAATTTTTATAGGTAGTAAATAATACGAAATACTTCCGTACATTGCGCAGTATTGTTAGTATGTTTAGATTTAATACTGTTAATAGAATTATTGAGGATTTCTAAAATAATACTTAACTTGAAAGTTTAATAACTTCATTTTGTCAAAAAATAAATATCTGAAGACAAGTTTTTTTTTGTATGTCTATATTATATACACGTGTTAGTTTGAGAGAACTGTTTTGTTGCATTTCTGTAAGTTACGAGCTCATTACTCTTTGTTAGTACCTATTACATACATATATACCTAGTGCATGCGTACATATATACAATAATAAACTCTCGCCTATCGCATATCTCCCTTCGGGTGGGCACAGACAACACTCAACCACCACCAACAAGACTACTTGCTTTCAATCGTCCTGCGTTGTCACTATCATACAAACCGTCTAGTTTCGGTTACACATTGTTCCATACTCCTTAATATATGATATGATAATAACATTACCTTAACACAATTTAAACACAGCTGTTCCCAAATTAGGCAGAGCCTATGCTATGGTAATCAGACTGTACATGTTAACATTATTCTATTTAGATAAGACAGGTCCTTCTTACCCCCCTATTTCCTTTATAAAGTAATATTTATCGTATGCATGGGTAACTAGGTAAGTAACAGTCCGTATTTAAAGCTACGGAAGGTTCGTGCGGTACAAAGTTCAAGGCTGTATTGATCCATCAGCCAGGGTGCAAGGTTGTCGGCTATTTCCAACTTAGTTTTCTAAACTAAAGGTGGTAGGTAACGTGTTCTTTCGCTTTTGGTGCTATTTAGGCGTCGTTTTATAAGTAATGAGGTATTCAAATGTTCAACATAAGTGTTTGTTTATGAGCTATAGTGAACGTCTTCAATATTAATATTTACCTGTGATATGGTGAATTGGATAAGTTTTAAGAAAAAAAAATGTTTTGAAAATCAGTAAAACTATTATTAATTGTTGTTTGTTTATCACTTTTATGTGATAAGCCAACTTTAAATATATTCGTGTACAGAATTTGATAAAACTTACACACGGTCGTCTGATCTCAATGTAGGCAGAGCCTGTATAGTAAAGACTGATGATAAACATACTTACATAATAATTATGTATATAAGAGAAGGAAAACTTGTCTTGCCAGCGTGGTATAGTAGGCCAAAATCTCCGTTCTAAGGAATGTCCAGCAGTGGACTGTTAAAGGCTGTTGATGATGATGATGATGATAACAAACAGAACAAATTTTAGTGCTCGTCGCAAATTAATTGTTCTTAGGGGAGGGAGGGATCGAACCTTCGACCTCTGGCTTATCTATCAGGATCACAAATCATTAGAACTAGACCAATAGTAGACTCACTATGGCAATATGTGGCATTTTCAGCGGACCATATTATTATTATTTGAAAATGCATTACTAATGAAAATGTGACATTTATCTTTTTTAATTGAATATATTTTTAGTATAATGTAACTATCTAAATAAAATCTAATTGAACTTTTTGCCGTAAATTCCCTGTACATTCATACATTACAATATATATTAACAAATCCTTACATTGACATTATACAAGAATATTAGCTATATTTTTCAAACGTGTGTATCTTTTATGAAACTGGTTGGAAACTGGTACATATGAACACAAACGGTTATCATGACAATACGCATAGGAAACGCCGAGTAAAAATATGAAACAGCATTAGTGGATATTTAAAAATATTTTAATGTAATTATCTAGTATATTTAATTATTATTAATATTATGCAAATATTAAATTGTTTAAACTTAGAAACATGCAAGTGTCATGTCCACTGTTCTTAGTTTTTATAGAGGATTTCAAAGGGCCAACCGGAAATGCGATAATATTTATGTC